AACCATAAGAGATGATACTGAAATAGAAACAAAACTGTGTTGTGTGAAAGCAATCCATAGACTGGTTTCAATCCATTCTTCTTGTCCTTTAAGCTTGTAAAATATAATACTGGCTTCAAAAATAAGCAAAATTGTCTTAGAAGGTTAAGACCTTTCGTTTCAGTATGCAATATGCTGTCTAGTACGTATTTATGTAACGAATTGACAAGAGATACACTACCATAGAAATGCTGCATGCAAGACCGTTGAGAAATTATTCGACTTACTTTTTTGTAAAATAGTGCTTTCTTTGTGAAATAAGAATTCAAGACAAGCTAATGATAGAGTTACAATGCTTGCTACAGTGTGTGTTGTGCAAATTAACATTAGTATTAAAACAGTATATAAAGAATATAACTGTAAACAACACAAGCAATTCTTCCTTAGTATAGGGGTAGTACACCAGCCTGTCACGCTGGCAGCCCGGGTTCGAATCCCGGAGGGAGAGGATTTTGTTTTTGCTTTGTTATTTTTTTCCCATCTTGGGTTTTATGATTTACGTTGTATTGTTTTTATTAATTTTTTGTTTCAATATCGTAATTTCTGTTCTTCCTGCTTTCCTACTTTTGTTCGAGCTGGTTGAAGATCTTGATTTTTATCTCATATAGTTGTATGACCTGTGTACGCAAGTAGGTAGTGGGTGATACAAACGAAAGAAAGCATTATTAAGCAAGCTCGAAAAGAAAAGGAAAGAAAAGGAAAGAAAAGAAAAGCAAAGAGAGAAAGGCAGCATCCTGGTAAAACAAAACAACAATGAAAAAAGAAGGTATGGATGACCGTGCCAAGACTCGAACTTGGGACCGTCTGCGAACATTAAATGTTAAGCAGAAATTATAACCATCTAAACCACACGGCCTTCGCTTATTAAGCTGGTGCTTATAAATTTGACAAAGGTATAAGTTATGTTTCATTCGTGGATGTTTGACACTTTTAATAAATCCAGAGGAAATCGATAATCCATTTAGAAATGGTAGAAATAAGATGATTTATTACTTCTTTTTGAAAAAATACACGTACTGACTTATGACTTGTGGTCGAATGTAAGCAAAGTTTATATAGCTTCTGATAAAATAATAGCGAATAAGCATTTCTGACATCTCTTCTAAGGCAACCATCTCGATCGTAAACAGCATTAATCATTGAGTAGACTACTTACATTCCTGTTAAAGATGAAGCAATTTCTTTAACTTCCCTTGTGTATTAGCTTCACTTGCGACGAAAATCAGATAATGCGACTTAATAAGGAACACCGAAAAGAGGTGAAAATAGCCAAGAAACGCATATTCCATCATGACCAAATTTCCTAACACTTAAGAGCTATCCTCTATGACTAATTAATTTTTCGCTTCAATCTGGCGATATTATTGACATTTAAATAGGTTAAATATAATTACTCCTACTCTATTGTTATATAATCATCACATGCTTAAAATAAAATATATTAATTAACTATGCAACTTACTTAACACACACTAGTCAAAACTTGTTTTATACGTCCTTTGGCATCTTTAGGCTTTTCTTTATCTGTAAGATCCTCATAAGTATGCAGATTTGTATCCAAATCAATGTGAGCTAAAGATGGTATGCGTGATCTGTCATAGATCTTATATCCAATAAAAAAGAGGACGACCACAATAGCGGCTAAGTAACCTTGGAAAAAGTCACCCGCATTAGGTTTACCGCCGACAGGAAAAAGTGATACATAAAACTGAGCTATTAAACATAAAATGTTGAAACCCAAACCAATACATGAGCCCCAGATGCCCATAGGTGACACAAATCCGAGAGTATCTAAAGAGCGACCTTGCTTTTTCATGGCAAGTCTAAAGACAATATGGCACAGGTTTATACTACCCCAAGAAAAGAAGTTTGCAAGACCAGATATAGCAAGTAACCAATTGAAAATCGTTGTACTTTTACCTTTAGCTTCGTTAATATAAGCGAAGAATCCAAACGAAAGAACTACAATCATGGCCATTAAAGGGCGGCCCAGACGATCTGTATAACCAAAAAAGGAAGGTGCATGCTTATTCAGGGCAAGAGCGTGCAATGTACGGCTTGCTGTAAAAGTACAAGCATTCGCGACTGAAATAACAGAAATTATAATGACGGCATTAAAGACGGAAGGCAGCCCTTTTATTCCAGCTTCTTTGATAGCAAGGACAAATGGGGAAACACTATTGCCACTACTGTTATTCATCAAATTAGGATCATCAGGACTAACCAGTAAACCAACCATAAGTAAGCCAACAACATAAAAAATGGCAATACGCCAAAAAACCTGACGTGTAGCGTGAGGTAAGGACTTCTGGGGGTTTTCAGCCTCAGCAGCCGCCAAACCGACAACCTCGGTACCTGAAAAGGAAAAAGCTGCTGTGGTAAACACAGAGCAGAAACCTTTGAAGCCATGTCTGAAGGGTTGATTCTTAATAATACTACCACCGATATAACCTCTATGATCGGTTGGGACACCGCCACAATTGATAATGATTGCTAAAATAATAAATCCGGTAGTAGCTATAACCTTGATTGTCGACAAGAGAAACTCGACTTCACCATAACCTTTGACGCCAAACAAGTTAATAATAATAATTAACAATAGAAATATGGTAATCCAGGCAGCACTGTTAATTTCCGTCCAGTACTTAAAAGTGATAGCACAAGTGGTTAACTCTAGAGGGAAGGTGACGAAATAATTAAAAAAGTAGTTCCAACCACAAGCAAAACCCCAAGCAGGGTCAATAAAACGCATGACATACGTATAAAAGCCACCAGCCAGCGGATAAGCAATAGCCAATTCACCTAAAGAGTATACTGTAAAAAACATCATGATACCGATCAATGTATAATCAATGATCACAGAAGCAGGACCGCCTTTAGCAAGCGAGCTACCGGAACCCACGAAAAGACCTGTACCAATGGCACCACCAATGGCAATCATCTGCATATGCCTTCCTTTGAGTTTTCTTTTTAAGGCAACACCATCGTCACGAACAGAAGTTGCTGGTTTAAAATCGTTAAATATACTTTCGAAAAAGTTTTCCTTTTTTGGTTCTAAATCTAAAAGTTCACCATGGGCAACGATATTTTCGTTACTTGGACCCAACTTCTTTTCATCTTTATTGTCCTGATAATGCGTTTTGTCTGAAGGGTATTTTTCGAGACCAGTTTCATTTATAGATTGCGACATTTTTTATAATTCTTCCAAAGGGTAATAGAACGTATGCTTTCCCGATTGACACGGTGCAAAAAAATTAAAATGATGATATAACAAAAAAATCAATGAATGTAATCAAGGTCTATCTTCCTTTTGGCATCAATTGTTAATGGACAGATATTAAAATTGCAGAATTAATGGGTAAACAAATCTCGCAGGTCAAGTCAAAACCGAATGTTTAAAGAATCCTACTCACAAAAACAAACCTTCAAGGAAACGAAGACACGAAAAGCTTAATAAAAATTATGAAAATGTAATTTTTCCTTTTCTTGAACTAAAGATAAAGAACAATTGATATGACTAGAAGACAAGGGCTTTTCTTTCTTTAGTAGCTCACCTTTTTGCAAATAACAACCCTTGTATGTATATACGGAATTAGAAACTATCTATGCACATTTTTTTTAAATGAAACGATATAAATACTCAAAATATGTGCAAAGATAAGTGACGTTTTTATGGAGCAGATAAGATTATGCTTGCGTAAAAACGTCAAAGTTTTAAGAGGCGAAATATTACTTTTGTTTCATTAACTTAATAAGTATACGTACAAATATATATATGTTAAGATATAAACAAAAGAACACCAGAAACAATTAGTGTTATTTTTCACTTCTTGTGAAGAGCACTATTGTTGTTACCCTGATAAGCAAATTTCCTTCAACCCCTCGTTTACAGTATCTACCCCAATATCCACATATGTCTGTTCTCTGATAGTTGAAGATCTCCATATGAACCCCTGACAATCAATTTAGGAATGTGCCGAATAACCCTTCTGGTTGATATAACCATCAGTGCTCCATACAAAAAAACAAAAAAAAAAAAATACTGAAGACTTACAAATACTATCAAACTGTCTTTATGAAATCGAATTTAGTCTATGAAGCTTTATTCAAAATTGCAATAGTTTTACAGCATCCAGTAACAAAAATTTTTATTCCCCTTTTCCTACTTTTGTTTAAGCAAGATTAAAGCTAGCATCAGGGAAGTGTTCAAACTTCTCATCAAGGTTACCACGCTTGTTCAAAAACTTGGCGTAGCAGCCATCAGGGATGACTTCACCGCGACTACGCTTCTCAATGAATTCAGAACGGTTGTATTGAGAGAAGCCCCACTTCTTGGAAACAATAATTTTTTGTTGTCCAGGGAACTTGTATTGGCAACGACGGAGGGCTTCAATAGCAGTATTACGGTTGGAGTCCTTGGTACGGATAGAGATCAAGATTTGGCCAATCCTGACACGGGCAACCAAAGCGTTGGGTTTACCAAAAGCGTGACGCATACCTTGTTGCAATCTATCGGCACCGGCACAAGAAAGCATCTTGTTAATACGAACAACGTGGTAAGGGTGGGCACGGACACGAAGGTGGAAGGCGTCCTTACCAGCCATCTTCACTAAGTACTTGTTGGAACTAATACGAGCGGCTTCAAGAGCTTCGGAAGTAATTTGTTCCAACTCGTTAGATACTAAGTGAATACAGAGGGGGAACTCGTCGACACCGGCACGCTTACGACCCAAGTCAAAGATTCTGATCTTGGGATCAGGAACGGCACGGTTATAACGAGATTTGGGGTAAGGCTTGTTTTTAATGTAACGATAGCAACGTGCGGGTCTACGGGCCATTTTCGATTCAAAGGCTTTATGGGTTTTTCTTGTTTTTACAATTCCTTTCCAATACCCATCTAGTCTTTCCTCTCGATGAACAAAAAACAGTCACACCTTTTGTTACCTCAGCGGGTAACGTACAGTTTGTTTTTGTAATAATTTTTTTGACGATTCTGTTTAGCCGTTATAGGGATATTGTTTGTATTTACACATAAAGAAACAAACACGGACTGTTGATTTTTGACTTTAATATTTATAGAAAGTCACTAATTTCTGGGAACTATGAAATTATCTAATAAGTAACTTTATAAGTCTCCATTATACAATCTGTTTTCTTTTCATGTAGTACTTGATACCTTGCGTAGACAACCAATATTAGTAGATCTTGTAATACCTAGCGAATGAACGCCGTATCCGTTATGGTTCGGGAGTAATTTTACATAATGAAATCTATACAATAAAGAATATAAAGCTTAAGTATTGTCATTATTTGAGTTTTCATCTTATCTTTTTTTGATCTAGTGCTAGACTTTCGTCCACAAATTGGCAAGTCGGTTCTGTCAGTAATTTTCCACAACACACCACAGCATAATTTAAATATGAGCCAGGAGGCTCTCACGACGGAAGAATACACCCAGCGCCTTGAGCGCTGGTCGGAAAGACTAAAACGCCAAACCATTTCTCACCTTCCTGCGGATTATAGCCGCCCCGTACCTTCAAGATTAGTGGAAGCCGTTTCTGAAAAGACGCTCAATGATGAGACGAAGGCTGCATTGATCAATATTTATGTTACTGCCCAAACAAAAGGAATTAATGCTACTCCTTTCAATATATTGCTGACATTGTTTATCGTCCTAGTTAGTCGTCTGACAGGTGACGAAGACATTAGCATTGGAACCAGCTCTGAGGATGCTGTTCCTTTTGTTTTGCGGACTTTTATTCAACAAAATGAGTCCTTCTTTGGACTTTTGGAAAAAGTGACAGACCTTGAAAGGTCCTATTCGGTTGACGCTGTGGATTTTACTGATTTGATCAATCATTTAAACAGTAAACTAGCGGGACATGATGAAACTCGTAAAACTCTTGCTCATATTCGTTTTTACAATGCACCAGATACGCCATCCGAAGGCTTTTTATCTTCAACCAGCATGGATGTCGATCTGACTGTCTTAGTATCCCTCAAGAAGCCGGCGGAAGAGCTTTCTTCTTTACGTTCTAAATTTACTTTTCCTGATCTACAACTGAAAATTATTTACAATCAACTTCTTTTCTCTCAAAATAGAGTCAATATTCTTGCTGACCAGCTTTTCCGACTTGTTATATCTGCTTCAAAAAACATTGAAGACTCCATTGGCTCTTTAGATTTAATGACTGAGTCTCAAAGCTGCGTTTTACCGGATCCCACAGTTGATCTTGACTGGTCTGGTTTTCGTGGTGCTATCCAAGATATTTTTGCTCAAAACGCTGCCAAGTTTCCAGAAAGAGAATGCATCGTAGTGACTCCTTCTGTTACGGAAAATGTTCCGGTTACTTCTTTTACCTATCGCCAGATTGATGAGTCTTCAAATATACTGGCTCACCATCTTATCCAAAGTGGTATAGAAAGAGGCGATGTTGTTATGGTTTATGCCTACCGTAGTGTTGATTTGGTAGTAGCTGTCATAGGTGTTCTCAAAGCTGGTGCTACTTTCTCCGTTATTGACCCAGCCTATCCCCCAGCTAGGCAAATTATTTATTTGGGCGTTGCCAAGCCAAGAGGTTTGGTCTTTTTGGCTGATGCCGGCGTTGTTTCTCCCACTGTTGTTGACTATGTGGAAAAGAATCTAGATCTTAAAACTTTCGTACCCTCTCTGAAGTTGTCGAATGACGGTACTTTGACTGGTGGTGTTCTTAAAGATAGTAACATTGATATTTTATCAAGCGTTAAGCACTTAAAATCCCAACAAACTGGAGTCGTCGTTGGACCAGATAGCACTCCTACACTTAGTTTTACTAGTGGTAGTGAAGGCGTTCCTAAGGGTGTAAAAGGACGCCATTTTAGTTTAGCTTATTATTTTGATTGGATGTCGCAAGAGTTTAATCTTTCGGAGACTGACAGATTTACGATGCTTAGTGGCATTGCTCACGATCCTATTCAGAGAGATATCTTTACCCCTTTATTCCTTGGTGCATCTCTTATTGTACCAACTGCTGAAGACATTGGAACCCCTGGACAACTTGCTGAATGGGCCAACAAATATAAAGTGACCGTTACCCATCTGACTCCTGCAATGGGACAATTACTTTCCGCTCAAGCTGAAGAGCAAATTCCATCTCTCCATCATGCATTTTTCGTGGGTGATATTCTCACTAAACGTGATTGCCTTCGTTTACAAGTGCTTGCTACAAATGTCAATGTTGTTAACATGTATGGTACCACCGAAACACAGCGTTCTGTTTCTTATTTTGTGGTTCCTGCTAGATCAAAAGACTCTACATTCTTGGAATGTCAAAAAGAAGTCATACCTGCTGGTAAAGGTATGAAAAACGTCCAATTGCTTGTTATCAACCGCCATGACAGTAGCAAGATTTGTGGTATTGGAGAAGTTGGTGAAATTTATCTACGTGCTGGTGGTTTGGCAGAAGGTTACCTTGGCAATGAGGAACTGACATCCAAGAGGTTCTTGCAGAGTTGGTTCGCTGATCCCTCCAAATTTGATGATCGCACTCCTGAAGATGCCTTATGGAAACAATTTTGGTTTGGAATTAGAGACCGCATGTATCGCTCTGGTGACCTGGGACGTTACCTTCCATCTGGTGATGTAGAATGCAGTGGTCGTGCTGATGACCAAGTTAAAATTCGTGGTTTTCGAATTGAGCTAGGTGAAATCAATACCCACCTTTCTCGTCATCCTAACGTACGTGAGAATATTACACTTATTCGTCGTAACAAAGATGAAGAGCCTACTTTGGTTTCTTATGTCGTTCCTCAAAATATGGAGAAGGATGATTACGGTAGCGGTACTGATACGGACGATGTAGTGGTTCAAGGTCTTCGAAAGTATAGAAAGGTTATTCAAAACATTCGAGAGTATTTGAAGACCAAACTTCCTAATTATGCTGTTCCTACAGTTATCGTTCCTTTAAATCGTATGCCACTGAATCCTAATGGAAAAATTGATAAGCCGGCTTTACCTTTTCCTGATACTTCTCAATTAGCAGCTGCCTCTATTTCTCGTTCTAAAAACGCGGTTACTGAGGCACTAACCGTTGCTGAACAAGAAATGAAAGATATCTGGCATAGCATTATTCCTCATGCTACTGATTTAAATAAGAAAGCAAACTTCTTCGACGTTGGAGGACATTCAATTTTGGCTACCCGCCTTATTTTTGAGTTAAGGAAGAAATATGCTGTTAATGTTCCTTTAGGTTTAATTTTCCGCGAACCTACAATTGAACGGCTGGCTAGAGAAATTGGCAAACTTAAATCCGGAGAAATGGTTGATTTATATGATGTACCTAAGGAAGAACCTAAAGATAAAGAAGTTGCATATGGCAAGGATGCCATCCAACTTTCAAATATACTTCCTCAGTCATTCCCTACCTTCTCTGGTTTAAAGGCTGAAAGCCCCGGGACGGTGTTACTGACTGGCGCTAATGGATATTTGGGTGTTTTTATACTTCGCGATCTAATGACTCGTAACTCAAATATTAAAGTTATAGCCTTGATTCGTGCATCTTCCGAAGAGCACGGCTTGCAGCGTCTCAGGGATAGCGGTATTGCTTACGGTGTCTGGAACGAGAACTGGGTTAAGTCGATTTCAGTGATTAATGGAGATCTTGCTTTAGAAAACTGGGGAGTTGCCAACGAAAAGTGGAACAGCTTATCCGAGGAAGTTGACGTTATTATACATAACGGTGCTTTAGTACACTGGGTTTATCCTTATTCTAAACTTAAAGGACCTAATGTTATGGGTACGATCACTGCTCTCAAGTTATGTTCATTTGGCAAGCCGAAGTCATTAAGTTTTGTTTCATCAACATCTACTATTGATACTGAATATTATGTCAATCTTTCTAATGAAATTACTTCTAAAGGTGGTGATGGTATCCCTGAGTCAGATTCTCTTTCAGGTTCAGCTGATAGTTTACAAACCGGTTATGGCCAAAGCAAATGGGTTGCTGAATACTTAGTTAGACAAGCTGGCTTGCGCGGTTTACGAGGAGTTATTGTCCGTCCAGGTTACATTTTAGGTGATTCAAAAACAGGAGCTATCAATACTGATGACTTTTTGGTTCGAATGATGAAGGGTTGCATTGAGTTAGGGCTTTATCCCAACATCAATAATACTGTGAACATGGTTCCTACAGATCATGTTGCACGTGTAACGACAGCTTCTGCATTTCACCCAGGTGAAGGAGTTACTGTTGCTCACGTTACTAGCCATCCTCGTCTTCGATTCAATCAATTTTTGGCAACGTTGAGTAAATTTGGTTTTGGTACAAAGCAATCCGAATATTTGAATTGGCGAATTGCTTTAGAAAAATATGTCGTTCATGAATCTCATGACAGTGCATTATATCCTTTGCTACATTTTGTTCTTGATAATCTCCCATCGAATACTAAGGCTCCTGACTTGGATGATGCCAATGCTCGTGAGATCTTAAAACGTGATACAGAGTGGACCAAGGTTGATGTATCGGCTGGAGCTGCTGTACTTGAACGAGAAATGGGACTTTATCTGTCTTATCTTGTTTCCATTGGATTCTTAAAGAAGCCTACTCAAGAAGCTGAGAAGGAATTACCAAAGATAAAATTGGATACTTTAACTATGGAAAAGCTTGCCAGCGTCGGAGGACGTGGTGGCGCTCCTGTTTCTAAGTAAAACATATTTTGGGCATTAGTGATATATTAAAAGTTCTTCAAAAATTTAATCTGTTAGTTAGCGATGTTTTTCATCATATTCTATGCAAGAATTATTAAAATAAATATCAGAATTAAATGCTGGAGATATAGGTACTTCCAACGCCAAGTCTGCTGGCGACAATGGGGGTTTAAAATTATTGTCGTTAAATTGCTTAGTGTCGTAAGTTGTATTTTGAAAATCGTAAACATCAGAAGACCTTAAAGGTACAGGAGGCGGCGTGCGGTTTTCCATAACCGGAAAATCTAGTGAGTCGAAAGGTGACGTGATTATAGCTTTTTTTTTAAATAGATTTGAAAATGTAAAAGTAAAAGTTTTCAAGACCATGAGTTTTGCAGCATCAGCCAGTAGAGCAAGTAAACCTAAGGCACAAACAGCTAACCATAATAAAATAAACAATAATGATTGTTTAGTCTCAGATATTACTGACTTTTCAAGGGTATTAAGGACTTTAGTAAGACCGCTTGAAGTAGTTTGTGAAAGTGTCGAATTTGACATGAGAGCATTCTTTAAAGTTTGATTACTGATGGGTTCACTTAATACGTCCCCAGGAAGTAGTGGTAAGTTTATATGAGACTTATTATGAACCCAAGTAAGAACTTAATCTGTTAGCAAATGTGACATTGTATGGAACGAACCTTTTTCAAAATTTTCAATCTTATGATAGAGTAAACAGTTTAAAACATTTTGCACGGCTTTATTCAATATTGTATCTTCAAAGATAGAGGATACGGTAGAATTCACTTCATTCATGAATACACTTAAAGTGTGATTTAAAGAAAGTGTAGTATGCGATATCGACCCAAACATACCGTCGTTAATGCGCCTTTGGTTAGCTAAAATAGCCTGGTTTGTATTATTGGACCAATCATATGATATATTTTGTAAAGTATATTGCATGTCTTGATAAGATATATTAGAGAACGTGCTGTGAGACGTCTCTAAATTGTTCAACTTCCGCAAAGCCAATAATTGGCACAAGCAAGAACAAAGGGAAGCAATTCCTACAAATAGTAAGATGGTGGCAGGCGGATAAAAAATGTATGAAATAAACCATCGCAGGCGAAACTTTAAATGCGCGGGAATAGGCAGAAAAGAAATACTTTGCTTCACATTCCAAAGCAAAGGAGATTCCAAATAGGTCACTAGATCTCGAGTATCTTCGAACATGTTCTTTTCTATATATTCGTCAATGAGAGAAGCTCTCCGCTTCAGTCTGTACCATTTCCAACCTTCATAGAAAAAGTTTATCAAGATTAAACCAATGATAGAAATCAGTAAGCTTATAAAAATTGTATATTTTAAAGTAGTTAATACGGTGTAAACTGAGCTTGATGAGTCGTCCGCATTATTATCGGAACAAACGGTGAATTGTGTCTGTTTAGGTTGAGATATTGACGAATTGTCGAATGTAAAATTTCCAATATCTTTCAAAATAGAGTACCTAGCCAGTTTTAATGGGCCACTGATTGCATTTTCTGTGACGTTTATAGCATGATCAAAATTTATAGAATTGCGAAGACTTTCAAGCTTGGTATCATAATAAGAGGGAAGGCGTAAATTTTTTAAGGATTGGATCTGTGGTATTGAAACATTAGGCAAATTGACGTCTTCGCCTAACCAGGAAGCGATTTTTCGAAACGAGGATTCAGCTTTATATAATTCACTGTTAAAGCCGCTAACAGTGTCTTCTATTCCTTCAGAAACTGCTTTAAGAGTACTATTTACAACATGTTCTATTTCTTCTCCTACGTCAACCATTGCATCTAGGGCACCGTTTAAAGCCAATTGCAACAAACATAAATAGGTACCGTAAGTGAATTCAATAAAGAAAACAATGGTTTTCTCAGCTGCTTCTATTGTATCAATTAGTCCAGATAAAAGCAAGCCTACAGTAGAATTGATGCTTTTCTCCGTAAGCTTAACAACAACGCTCGCAATCATGCCAGGAGAATTCAGAATTGAATTCACTTTTTCTTGCATTATATTACAAGAATAACTTTTAGCTGCCGCCTCGGATTTGGATATATCATCTATCTTTGATTGTAAGTTTCGGTTGAATAGAAGAAATTGTAACAAAATATATAAGCAACATATTGTCCACGGAGTAATCCAGGCTTGGGAGAGCCTTGCCTTTAGTCCCAAGTAAGAGTTCTTCATCTATGAGCTCTATACAGGGTATGAAAAAAGCAATTTCCTAGTTTTGGTCGACATATCGTATTGTGGAGAACAAAGAAACTTTTTCTTATGGTATGGGACTTAAGTCTCTGACGTAGGAAATTATACATAATAAGGAAAAAAGTAATGCAAAGAAGAACCCGATTAATTACGCACAAGACTCACATGGGAAATGTCACGGGAGAAATCTCACACGTTATGAGAATGTTTATTGAGTGGAAGTAATAAGTACAATTGCAAAATTGTCTATTGGAATTGGACGTGTTAGTACTACGTAGAAGAATAGTAATATGTCCAGGGATCTGATTGATTTACTAAATGAAAACGACTAAGAGTCAATCTTATTTAGCCTGATCAGTCAAGTTTTCTGATCTAAAAGATTTCGACTGTAGACACACAAATATATATTGTTGTATATATTTGTAATCGTAATTGGCTTCCTTGATTAAAAACAATGATTATGTAAATTAAATATAAATCAGTATTTCTGTATTCAAGTCGGAAATCGCATATTCAATGTTTTGTTTACTTATTATAAAGCACAATTCTTTAGGCTTAATCAGGCGCCTTAAACATTGGGCCACAAGACCTGTTATAACTCATTTAGGTGCTTAAACAGATTTATTGTAATAATTTTTTTTTTTTTTTTTCCACAGTTATAAGTAAATAGAAAGAGGGAAGAAAATCATTAAGTAATCATTGTTGAATGCGTTTATTAGAAAACAATACAGTGATTCTTCCTAAATGCAATTATGTGAATTTTTGACAAATAAACCAACAATCGACGAACAGATAAATATGTTTGATTATCAAAAGACATTGACTAAAATAAAACCAGTAAAACCGGTTTCATCATTCCGGTAAATAATAGCTACAATAATATATAATAATAAATATTATTTTTTGGTTTTTTGGTTGCAGAACAAGAAAACAAAAGAAAAGTTGAACCTATACGCTACATACTTCTTTGAGAATTTTTGACTCTAGCCAACAATCAATATTCCGGATCTGTGAATCCTTAAATCATAATGGATGAAACTATTAAGCCAAGGTTTATCGATAAAGGTGACATGAAATTGCAAGTAATAAAAGTATTTCAGACAATGCAATCTTTGAAAGAGCAATTGAGAATTTTCATTCAAGATAGCATCCCGAATGAGTTTATAATTATCAACATTTTTTTAGAGTCCAACTTTAATGAAAAAAAAGAAAAAATAGTAATTGAAAATGAAAAGGCTTATTGTTTTTTAACTAGGTACTGTCTGTTTATATCACGAACAGTCGCTTAATCAAATGTACAAGATAAGGTTTATTGTCGTTAGCGTGAATATGTTGAATTTCGTTTGAGAGTGTTATCGTATTTAATAAATAGTGATTTTAACGTTTCCAATATCAGTTTTACGTAGATAATATTTCTTTGCTAATATAGATAGGAGTGCAAACTTTTCGCTTGAACTTGGCATCTTACCTATACTTTCCCTGGGCAATTTTTTTAAACACTGAATTAAGCCCAAATTTGGACTCTACTTTGGAAAACACCCTCTTTCGATACTTTTTTGTAATTCTTTTTCACCATGAATTCTGCTACAGTTCCTGAAGAACTTCCTACTTCTGTAAGTAATATGCTTCGCTTTAAATCAAGTTGGCTTGTCCATGCTAACGAATACGATAGGTTTCTTCTTATTTCGATACCATCCTGATCCTTGATTTTGGGTATGTAACTAAATATGTTCGTGCTTGATATCATGCTTATTGAGCAAGTACATTGAATTACTTCGCGCAGATGCCGATTAACCCATGATTTTTGATTGCGACAGTTATTAACATATCCTAGATCTCAATACAGCCATTTGATTGCTAGACGCCTTCGTGAACTCCATGTTTACGCTGAAATGTTACCATGCACTCAGAAGATTGCTGAGCTTCCTTTTAAACCCAAGGGTGTAATCTTCTCTGGTGGTCCCTACTCTGTATATGATGAAGGTGCTCCCCATGTCGATCCTGCTGTGTTTGAACTTGAAGTTCCTATTTTTGGTATTTGCTACGGTATGCAAGAGCTTGCTTGGTTGAATGGTCGTGGTGTTAGTGCAGGTATTGAAAGAGAATATGGTCCTGCTATGGTTACCATTACTGGCGAAAGTAAATCTGAGGTTTTCCAGAAGTTTTTTGAGTCTATGCCCAAGGAGTTTGAAGTATGGATGTCCCATGGTGATAAGTTGAATGCTTTACCCACTGGTTTTGAATCAATTGGTCAGACGAAGAACTCCCCATACGCTGTCATTGCTCACAGCACTAAGGCTATTTTTGGTATTCAATTCCATCCCGAGGTTACCCATACTCCTTTAGGCTTGCAATTAATTAAGAACTTTGCTCTTGGAATCTGTGAAGCTAAGCCAAGCTGGTCAATGGAAAACTTTGTTGACAAGGAGATTCTTCGTATTCGTAAGATGATCGGTCCCGATGAACATGTTATTGGTGCTGTTTCCGGTGGTGTTGACTCCACTGTCGCTGCCAAAGTTTTGAAAGAAGCTATTGGCGATCGTTTCCATGCTATTATGGTTGACAACGGCTTGTTACGTTTAAACGAAGCTGAAATTGTTCGTGAAAACCTTAGAGAACACTTGGGTATTCAATTAACCATTGTTGATGCTTCTAACGAATTCATTGGAAAATTGAGTGGTGTTACTGATCCCGAGAGAAAGCGCAAAATCATTGGAAACACCTTTATCCACGTTTTTGAACGTGAAGCCGAGCGTATTGTGAAGACTACCAACGGCAAGGTAGAATATCTTCTCCAAGGAACCCTGTACCCTGATGTAATTGAAAGTATTTCTTTTAAGGGGCCTTCTCAAACCATCAAGACCCACCACAATGTTGGTGGCCTTTTGGAAGACATGAAACTCAAGCTTATTGAACCATTGCGTGAACTTTTCAAGGATGAGGTCCGTTCTCTTGGCGAGCTTCTCGGAATTGAGCGCAGCCTTGTTTGGCGTCATCCTTTCCCTGGTCCCGGTTTGGGTATCAGAATTTTGGGTGAAGTAAACCGTTCTCAACTTGAAATTGCCCGTAAAGCTGACCATATCTTCATCACTGAAATTTGCAATCATGGATACTATGACAAAATCTCTCAAGCCTTTGCTGCTCTTTTGCCTGTTAAGGCTGTAGGTGTTATGGGTGACAAACGTACTCATGAACAAGTTATTGCTTTGCGTGCCATTACTACTTCTGATTTCATGACTGCTGATTGGTTTGACGGATTTAGCGTCAAGTTTTTGAAGTTGGTTAGCTCTCGTATTTGCAACGAGGTTGCTGGTGTCAATCGTGTTGTCTATGACATTAGCAGTAAGCCCCCTGCCACGGTTGAGATGGAATAGACACCAGGATTTGATTTCATTTGTTTTCGTTACCCTCACTACTGTAATTATAGCTTTTCTTTGGTTGAAGAAAAAGGTTGGGAGAATTAAGGAGTAATAATCAGGTTTAGATTTATTATATTGCTCAAGCGGTTTTACACATATAATTAAACAGATGGAAGATGAAGAAAAGATAAATTTGACTTAAGCATTCATTTATCAAAACTTGTAGTATAATAGAAATTCAATTAATATTTAAACAATCGTTATACATTAATCATTAACCTCTTTGTTTTTATTTTATCCTTTTTTTTGATAACTTGCAGAGGGCGTAGACTAGTAGTCAAACGTTATTGTTTTTTTTTTCTCGACTACATGAACATGTCACTAGAACCGGGAGGCATAAACTCGTCATTATCGGGCTCACCAGGAAACTTAAATCCCTCACCGGGTCTTGTTTTTCTTTGTGAAAACCGATTTCCAAAGGGATCTTGAAAAGCTCGCAAATCATTGGGCGATGTTGGATCATACCTAGCACCAGAAGGTACATAAGGAATGTTTGGAGGTCCTTCTTCACCGACAGTACTTGTTCCTTCCTCAGGATGAAATATAGGATGATTAAACGTAGGATGCATTCCCCCACTGTTCCCGGAAGCGCCAACACCAGCTGGATAAAGATCATCAGCACCAATTGATGGAAATAGAGGCTTCTGGTTAGGCAAATTCCCAAAAGGAGCTAAAATTCCAAAAGGAGCATCGCTGGGCTGTACATCTACGAATCGAGGATGGGTAGTAGATTGTATCGTGTTCTTCGGTTCCTCAGATGACGGTTCATCCTGATTTTGAGCCTGAATATCTTCGTTTGATGGGAGCACATCATCAACTAAAGACTTAAGATTCCAATCATCTGCCAGTTGTTCGTTGTGAAAAGCCCGAGTAGCTGTTTTATTTGAAGTCGTATTGAGACACAAAACATAGAACCAATCTTTCCAGAAAACAATCTTTACCGAAATATCAAAAACATTATTCACATTGTAAATAAATTCTGCACCATCTGTATAATCTTTTGGTATTTGTGTTAATACTTTTCCATCTGGCAAAACACATTTTTGGAATGTAGTTCCGGCTATCAAGAGTGCTCTATGAAACTTTCCTTGAACTCTCTCAAAATATTGGTTCTTATCCATAGCAAAAGTAATAAACCCAACTCTAAGGTACTTGATATGTCATATCTTCAAGTGCTAATATATATATATAGCAGACATTTAACGCCTTCATACTTGGATAATCTTTATAATATATATAATTATAGAAAGGTTTTCTACATGCACTGTATATATATATATATATATATATATATATTTGTATAGATTAGTTAAAGGCGAAACTTGGCTTACTATTTCATGTGTATAAAGTTTTATAAAGTAAGAAGTTAAGATTGGTAACTAGACCATAAATAAAGCTGACAAGACACAAAGACTGATCTCCAGTAGGGCTCACATTGCCTAAAACATGGATTAAATTCGTGGAATAGGGATATAATGATGATACATGATGAAACAAATAAGGAATCTTCTAAATAAAGGCACAACTTCTCTGTATTCTTCATGATTAAGGCTACACAGGATTAATCAGAGGCTTGTTGTAATTTAGCAAGCATCGTCGATAACTTTCCATTATTACGAAGCCTTGTAAGGTCTGAGTTTCCTGATTTTAGTTAGCATCCACAATAAGTACACTAGATTGAAGTAGCACAAAAATTCTAGACATACCCCCAATAAATTCATTCTTGAAGAAGATGCTTGGGACAGTTCCTTGGCTCGTCTTTTCCATAAGATATGCTAATGAAAGGTAAGACTAGGAAAATATAAAAGTCACTCATGTTAGAATACCTTGAACTTCGGATCCAGAATCTAAACCGTATTAATATACAACGAACCGTTTTGCAAGATACATTTGAAGATGTTCATTCTACTCACTAAAGGAAATTCCTTTAATGATCATACATACCTAATAAGTCTAATTCATAAGATTTGAAAGGAGCAGTATAGTCAGTTAAGGTTTTTTTTGCCGCTGAACAGTAGGGACAGTAAGATTTGCTAAAGACGGTAATCGGATTGCTTGCAATCGCTTTTTCTACAAATAATTTTGCTATAGAGCTCATAATTATAGATTCTACTTTTATGAGTAAGGGTTGGGCGAATAGATATAGGTTTCCGTGCAGAATACAGAGGATGATGAAGAGTTTCGTGTCGTTAAGCAGATACAATGCATTCTGATAATGAACGAGAATTAACTTACTATATTTACAATTCTGCAGCGATAAATAAGAAGATGCTTACAAGTTACTAGGTTAATGAGAAAAAAAAAAGCAACAAGAAGGAGGAAAAGATAATGATCAAGAAAAGGAAAACTTAACGTTGTCACCTCTTTATGTTATGAAAGATGTCAAGACACGGTAGTATATATTTTATTTTCTTTTCTAATGGACAGCTAAAGACTGGAGCTTGTTAGAAAGCTCAATATTTTGATCATTTTCCACAGAAGGAAGGCCCAAGTCTTTGCTACAAAAGTGTTAGCATATGTTAGTTTTGACAAAGACAAGAGTTTTCTTTTAAATTAGAAGCGGCCAATTCATCCACTCTTTTTTTAAAACTGTACTTACTGCATTGCGTAGGCGTCTTCTCCATCCGCATAGTATTTACTCTCGATCCCTTGAACACTAAAGAAAATGTTAATAGGATACCCAGAATTTTTTAGCATACTCAAATTTCAAACTGTCACGGTACAAATGAAGAGCAGCACGATTGCTCTTTCTCACATGAAGACTCATGTACCTAGCACCATATACCTCAACCATAGCTCTTTCTGAAAACGTTAGTGGGGTCAAGATAGTAAAAAAATGCAACCATATAAAGAAGGTATCAGAGGCTGTAGCTTTGATGTAAATTGCCCAATTTGCCTTGGTATTGGAGAAGGACCTCTCTCTACCGAAAGAAAATCTCGTCTAATCAAAGCGAAAGAGGCTCAAATAGATTTTTTTCCAACTACCATTTCTTTTATTTTTGCTTATGAAATATAAGCTTAAAGCGCTCTGATTTCTTCAACATATAGAAAACTGAACTTACGACTCTGAACCATCAATCGTTTCGCAAGACCCAACTGTCTATAAGAGCGCATAACGGATAAGCTAGTGACATGTCCATGAGGAATTCCATCTTTGGGTTCTTCCTCCATTTTGGCTAATACATAGCCAACGATTCTGCCTTTTGGATTTGTAGCAACATAAGAAAGCATAGGCCAAGATATAGCATGATAAAGATCTATAATGGAAGTTAATGTTTAGATTATCAACGTAACTGGAGTTATTTTCCAGGAAATAGTCAAACTTGAGATTGTTCCTTACAATATTTCAATTGATAGTTTTCCGGCAAATTATTAAGATTGCAATGTTGCATTCCCACCAAATCTTCAACGCGAGCAGGACGAATATCCATTTTTATCAAAAAACTTGGTGCTAGTATCCACAAACGTGTTTTCTTATATTTTGGTGGTTGACTTTTGGTCGTCTGGTGTATCTCAGAATGGGTAATACCACATAACTTATGGAAGAGCTTTTATCCGCACTTCTATCTTTCTTTCTTTTTATTCAAGTATTTACTACATGCTTTGAAATCAAAGGGTAAAAAAGAATTTAGTAAAATCTAACACTCTAGGAGTTGACAAGTATCGCTTATAAGCCATTCAATTTTAGGTAACCTCCTAGGAAACAAACTCCTGGGAACTAGCTTCAAAGAACGACCTTAACGATATTGAATTCCAAACTCTCCAGAAATGTTCATTGAGACAACTCAAAGTTTGTTTATCAATGAAATGCAGTGCCATCCAGTAAACGGATAGCGTAATATTCGTAAACTCCTTATTAAACAAAAGAGTACTTTCTCAACTATAGATGTATGTACGTTTAGAATCCAACACCGAACACGAAGATACATAAATGGACTGGATGAATAAAAACAACCAGCTTTACATTTCTCTGGATGCTTTTAAAAGGGTAAAGGTAAACAATAAATATGGAAAACAACGATCTAAGTATCCACAAGAAGTGAAAAAAAGACAGCCACTTCAAGATAAAACGAATCAAACAGCACCAATACATCAAAACAAAGGTTATCCAAACATTCTACCGGATGAATTTTCATATATCAAAACTCCAAAACGTAAAGGATCAGCAAGGTCATTCCAGGACAAGAGTTTTGTAGATTTAGCACCGCTGGATCCAGATTTGTTAAGAAGCTTTCGACCTCTAGCAACGTCGACGCCCAAGAAAAAGGTTAAAACGAAGCCAGAGCAAGCAAGGAATTTAAAAGATCAGGAAGAAAGTGAATTTGACGAGTTAGCAGAGTGGTTTCAATCAGCTTCTAATTTTGAACTCGACCTTTCTGAACCTTCTAGCCAGAAACAATCAAACTTAAATTGTCAAGAAGTCATCTTAAACAAATTTGCTCCTTTTGAAACAGAAACAGATGAAATTATTTTGTTTTAAACTTTACATCTATGCACATTGCAGCTTATGGGCAAGAAAACTTAATGTATTCTGCAGGAGGAAAACATTGTGTTGGTGTGTTTTCCTAAAGAAAATATCGAGTTGCTTTGATGCAAGCAACTCCAAATGAAAATTACAAGGACAAGGATATTTAAGGTAATCAAATTAGGTTTTTATTATAACATTCCTTTAGTGTCATGATAAATCTTGAGCGAAGATTCTCGACTCGCAGTAGGCCCATACATTATTTAAATTCAAATTACACAAGCTAGTTGTAGGCGTATATCGGTCATTGCAAGCAAACGAAAGAAGAAAAGTAATCATTCGTATTCCTATGAAATGAAATAAGTCCGCGAAATTACGTTGAAAGCCTAGTTATAACTAATGATGAATTAAACTTATTCTGGCTTTCTGTACTGCATTTTTTCCACTCGAACTTCTCCATCGAAAATTCGGTAAACGTATAAAATAAGAACAGCCCCCTGAACATCCATTAATACGAAACTGGGTGTTATTTTGGTATCATCGTTAGCAGCCGATACGGTCGGTGCTCCTGTTGCGGAACCAGGATTCACAAAGAAGCAATTATCCAATTCAAAGGCAGAAAACTTATGCGTATTTCCATAAAGAACAATATCAGCATCCATTTCTCTAGCTAGTATACTTAAAGCTTCAGGACTGTCCTGAGGGACAATTAGGTGCCCGCTTGTGTATGCTACTTTGAAAGAGCCCAATATCAACTTTCCAGCTATCGGCGATTTGTTTTCTATGTCATAAGCTCCTCTTACTAGTTTTAAATCTGCGCATACATGCTTTAAATAGTCATATATAGATGGACTCGTCAGGTTTCCCAAACATATAATTTGATTGATTTTTCCAGGAACCAAAAGCTGCCGAAACTGTCAAAGTTAGTCAATTATGCTTCAACCTAGAAGAGCTGAATTGATTCGTTCAATTCACCTAATATCATGCATACCTTTTCAGATAATTTTGGTGATCGATTAGGAATATGAAAATCACCAATTACTAGCACAAGCATTCTATACTATTATTCCTTTATCAAACTTTCAATTCTTCGCGAATTAAAAAACTCCTCCCTTTTGTGGTGGTTGTGTACTAGTCACGTTTAACTATAATAGCTATCAACGAAACTCCATTCGGTCTTTTGATCTTTTTCAAATCCAATCTTTTCAGAGGATTTAGTAAATGCTAAATTTTGTCTTTAAAAGAATACAAGTTAATCCATAACCTTCCTGTGTGGGTTGTTTCCAAACAAATAAATAAACAACAGTCATTGTTACTGAGCATACCATTTTCCTAATATCTTTGGAAAACTGAACCTTACAAGTCTGTATATCAATTGCACTTTTTATGACAGGAACATTTCATAATAGCAGATTATGGCTAGATGGCTGTTTAGATTTCTTCCATTATGGTAATACTATTTTCATATGCTTTGACAAAAGGAAAATGTACTGATATGTGAATGATAGGACACAGTAATGCTATTTTACAAGCTAAGCAGTTAGGCGACCAACTAGTTGTAGGTGTTCACTCTGATGAAGAGATTACACTTCATAAAGGGCCTCCTGTGCAAAACTTAAGTGAAAGATGTCTAGCAGCAATTACTTGCAAATGGGTAAATGAAGTCGTTCCTTACGCCCCGTATGTATTTGACCTTGCGTGGATGAGGAAATACGACTGCCAATTCGTGGTACACGGTGATGATATCTCTACTGACGCTGAAGGAAATGATTGTTATCGTCATGCAAAGGCTGCTAATCAATACCTTGAAGTTAAGCGTACCCAGGGTGTCAGTACTACAGAACTCTTAGACAGATTATTAAACTCGCTGCCATTATCAACTTACACCATTTCTCCATCGAATATAAGGACTTATGAACCGTTATTAAAAAGGTTTGCTTCTGCTCCTAACGGAACAGATCCCTACACTAATATATTTATACAATCCTCCAATGGTCCTGAAGAATTAGTCTCTGGAATATTTTCCGATAAGGTAAAGTTGAGAAAGTCCGCAATCTACCTAGACGGCGACTGGAGTTTGTTCACTGGGACACATATGACGGCTTTAAAGGCTTGTGCAGAGGCATTTCCTGATTTACCGATAGTCGTTGGAGTATTTTCCGATGATAAGTGCTCTGAAAAGCCAGTATTGAATCTTTTAGAAAGGACGCTTAACCTTTTGCAGTGTAAATATGTTTCGGCTGTAATTATTGATCCTCCTTCTGCAAGAAGCTTTGATACATTGAAATACTTGAAAGCGAAATTTGATGGTCTCATTGACAACTTTTCGTATCCTAAATTCTCTGTAAAGGAACAAGCTACATTTCAAGTGACTCTTAACAGGAAACCAACTGATAGCTTTCAAATACTGGACAAGCAAGGATCTGACACAATTAAACAGCGAATTGTGTCAAGAAAACATGAGTATGAAGAACGTCAACGCAGGAAACTTAACAAAAATGGAACAGAAAATACCACTATTCGCGCATGCGTCGCTAGTTGATTATTAACTATAATTATTCTACCTTCTACAAATTGTCAACTAAATGTTGCATTAAGCATCATCACTTCCTCAACATTTATGGAAGCATCATTAAAATAACCCAAATTAGACAAGTGTGATAAACATCAAAAGAAAGCATAGGTATTATACACTCATTTTCATCTTTATGGGGCCCCAAGGTTCGTATCCTTCAATAATAAAATCTTCTATACTAAATTGATCAATTTCTCCAATGTCAGTTGCACCACGTCTAAATGATAACGTAGGGAAAGACTTTGGAGTGCGAGCCAATTGGGTCTGGAGTGCCTCAAAATGATCATTGTAAATATGGCAATCTCCCATGACATGAATAAATTCAGCAGCTTCATAGCCACACATATAAGCAACCATATGGGTAAGGATAGAATAAGATGCAATATTGAAGGGAACTCCAAGACCCATATCAGCTGAGCGTTGATACATCATGCAAGATAACTCCAGCTTCCCACCAGGCTTACTTGGTTCATTCACATAAAACTGGCAAAAGATATGGCATGGGGGTAAAGCCATCTCAGGAATTGCTAGAGGATTCCAGGCTGATAAGATTATACGACGATCATAGGGGTTTGTTTTCAATGTATGAATTACTTGTGCAAGCTGATCGACACCCTTACCCCTGTAATCGGCATCGCAACCGACATAATCAGCACCAAAGTGCCTCCATTGAAACCCATAAACTGGTCCTAAGTCACCGGTTCTAAGGTGATTCAAGCCTCGCTGGTCAAGGAATTCCCTACTTCCATTACCATCCCAGATATGAATACCTTTTTCGGTCAAGTGGTTTGCATCAGTATCACCAGATATGAACCACAAGAGCTCTTCTAAAACACCACGTAAAAAGACACGTTTAGTAGTCAGTAAAGGAAGAGTCTGATTGCGCAATGAAAAGCGCAACTGAGGAGGGGCAAATACAGAATGAGTACCAGTGCCGGTGCGATCAGGGCGAGACCTTCCGTACTGCATAATATAACGAATCAAATCTAAATATTGATTTTCTTCATGACTGGGTTTCGAAGGAACTCGAATGGAGGACAAGCCAGATTGAAGAGGGGGCTGAGATTGAGCAAGCTGACCCGAATGTATGCTTGGAGCAACAAATTTCGCAGACGCTTTCTTGGCTGAAGAAGGCTGAGAAGTGGGAGGTTCTATAATGGACGAAGAGTTACTAGAAGGCAAAGGAGAAGCTTTCGGAGTAACGTCAACGTAAGAAGGCGGATTGTTGTTCTCTTCATTGCTTTCACTATCTTGTTCTTTAGAGTCTTGTTCATCATCTTCGTTGGATTCTTCATTTTCTGTACCGCTGGACTCATCTTCATCCTGATTCTCAATATTTTTCACGGCATTCGGCAACACTTTCTTATGTTCAAGATGCAAGTGTTCCGCTACTTTAGCTACAATGTTTCGCCATTCAGCCATGCCACCCATTCCAATGTCTCCACAAGCAAGGACTTTTTCAATAGGCAAAATGATTTCTGTATTTTTGTAAATACGGCCAATTGTTTCCATATGTTCTTGGGTTATAGGGTTGGTCCACATCATCGTGTTCATAGCGGGGGCAAGCAGCATTGGTTTATGAAGCGCCCAAGCTCGTACCAAAGAAGTTAGAAGATTATCACAAATACCATTAGCAATTTTAGCCATGGAATTTGCGCTCAAAGGAGCAATCAACAACAAATGAGCCCAGCGGCGTAATTCTATATGCGTGATAGGACTATCCAAACCGTTCCAGCAAGTCCAGTCATCAACGTTCGTATACACCTTGACTCCAAGAGACGTGAGGGCTTCGGTTTCCACAAAATTGCGAGCTGGGTCTGTCAAAATAACTTGCACATCGACGCTATCGTAAGTTAAGAGCGCCTTAACGATCATAATCAATTTTATAGCTGCCACCGATCCTGTAGCTGCAACTAGGACATGATGCTTCGAATCCGTAAGTTGATGCTCCTTTTCCATAATCATAGGATTCTTGACAGCTCGCGTTGCAAACCTTGCATGTAAGGGTTGAGACATGCTGAAAATGAACCCAATCTTAGTAAAAAGAAAGAACCTTTATATTATAAATGACCTAAAACTGTCTTGGTGAAGAAAAGGATGTTTCCCTAAACAAGTTGTTTTAGCGACTTCTTTAACACTCGCGTGAACGATTGCGCAGCATACACTAGCCTTCGGTATATATAAATAGAATTTGAATGTGGCAAACTACAAAGTACAAAAAAACATTTAGTCAGACTATAAAGCATAGAATTTTGAAAAACATAGTATTATCGACTGTTTGATATTCTAAACATATTCATCTTAATATATCTGTTTGGACTGTACAGATCACTACAACGAACAGCTGAAAAAAAAATTACATAGTGGAAACATACATAAGTAGAGCAATAACCCCTTCTAATCGCTACAAAACAAATCAACAGCATACAAATCTTAACCGCAAAAGATAACAAATCCATTTATTGCTAATAAGCTTAGAATTGGATAGCAGCACCCTAAAGTATGTTAGTACAAGTTTACCAGACATTTCCATTGAGGCCTTGAGCAGTATTTCATATGTTCGCAATATCAAAAATGGTGAAATAAATTGTGTTGCTCGCACAGCTCTCGCTTTTGTATTACATACCTTGGTCTTCTTCTCACCACCAAGCTCAAAGTGCTTGCAACGCTTCAAGCAGATTTGGTTCTTGTATTTGCAAGCAACACATTCTAAACGAAGGACAACCTTCTTGGTAACCTTGGCCTTTCTGTGGAAGACGGGCTTTGTTTGACCACCGAAACCACTTTGCTTGCGGTCGTAACGACGCTTACCTTGAGCAACCTTAGAGTCGGGACCCTTCTTGTATTGAGTAACTCTGTGCAAGGTATGCTTGTGGCAGTTCTTACCAGGACAGTAGGTCTTACGAGTCTTGGGAATGTTCACCATTTTTTCTTGTTTAGGGTTGCTGGTTGGCGGTGATTAAGAGCTTGACACTCAAAAGTTTCGACTCAAATTGAGTGTTATGCCTATGTGACTGTTTTTATACACTTTAGGGTAGGTTCATTTCTGGACTTCATTGAACTTCTCATTAAGATATTTACCGTACACAATCGTACTGCGTTCTACTTGACAAAATCATAGTAAAGTAAAATGATACTATGAATCAGTTTTACTGAAGTTAGTTACACCAAGTATAAAAGATTTCATTCCTGTATTATGGATGCACTGCTTCTATATATCCTGGTAAAGCACTTATTTATCAATGTTGAAAGTCAAATATTCAGTAATCCCAACATACTAGGTTTGTCCATGAGGTAAGGAAGTGGGTCCTTCTGTTAACTGTGAACACGGTTGATATAATTTACCTTACTAAAGCCTCTTCATATGCAATGTTTGAAATGATGTAAGTATAGAAAGGCAATCCAATGAATCATTGACCACTTCCGTATACATTTCTTTTGCCAGATTTTACGTCAAGGTGACGACTTTAGCTGTTTTTATAAGTTGTTCATAAAAAGCAGAAAAGATTACTCTTCTTCATACCGATTGTCCTTGAAATATTAGTTATTCAATTTGAAAGCTACCATTGACTTCAACCACCGTTAACGAAAATAACATACTCCTTGTTTTTTCATTATGTCTTTAGTATATAGCCTTGTGCCTTATGTTCGTCCTAGTGCAATTGTCTTAGGTGTTGCCTTTGACCATGCTGCTTCCTTTATGGTTTATGGACCTTTAATGGGCGACCTTTGGAAGAAAGCGTAAGTTAAGACCTTTGCTTTTCGGGCAATAGACGCTCTTATAGGCATGCAATACTAACTTTGTTTTTCTAATTAGAATGTCCCCTACTCCTCAACATGTCCATTCTGCTCCTTGCAGTCCCATCAAAAAGGCAACTATAACCTATTCGAGTAATCTCATAAGCGCATGCGTTCAGACTTATTCCATTGCTGCACTCTTGCAATTAACTGGAACCGTAAGTATGAAAGGTGCTTTTTATGTAGGCCTTTATGTCTTTGGAGCATCAGGATTGCCTGATATGGTTGACTACATATTTACGGAAAAGCGAGGATGTTCCTACACATTGGTAAAAACAATTTCTTCGTTTGTGAAAACTGTCGGCATGAGCGTTGTCTTGTTAGGCTATGGTATCCGCCAAAACCGAGCTTAACGAAATTTTAGTACTTTGTTTTCCATCTTTTCTAAAATTTAACTTTAAGGAACGTACAAATCAGTTAGTAATGACTAAATGAATTTATGAACCTCGTATATTATAAGTATTGTATTTTGTTCCTAATTTATCCATCTCTTTGATATTTGCAAAAATAAATTATAGAGGCCAAAACTTCTTGCCAACTTGTCTTTAAAGAACATCCCTTTTAACATTAAATTTATGTTAACGAATTATTCTCATCTTCAGCATCCTGAAACGCTTCGTAGTCGTCTGTCGAAAGGGTATCGTTTCTGCGATGATGTCCAACCCTGGCAATATCTTCCTTCTCGTTCAACGTACCTTTCTCTTCAGCGTTATTGGGATTAGAAAGAGTTGTAGTCGCTGGTAAAACAACATCACTTCTATTTTCTACGTTTTCCGGTAATTCACTTGAGACTCCATCGTGCTCATTATCTATTTGAGAAGGATCATTTTCCTTCTCGTTTAATACATCTACCTCTTCAGCGTTATTGGGACCAGAAAGAGTTGTGGTCGGCGGTAAAACAACACCAGCACTGTTTTCTGTATTATCTTGTAACCCATTTGAGACATAATTATACGCCGTGTTTATTTGAGAAGGATCTAGAATACCCAAGTGAACATCAGTAGGTGAGTTTTCATCCTTTCCTCTTCGCTTCTCTTCTTCTGTGGAGGTAATAGAAATCTTCTCCGTATTGTTAAAGGCGTCCTTCCATAAAATTTTCCGATTTTGCTCATCTTGTACTGAGCGACGGCGTTCAACTTCTTCAACACCACCAATATTTCGTAAATTATCATCTTTAATAAACTCTTTTAGTTCTTTTGCGAACTCATCTTCATGAAATAGAACTTTCTTTCGTTGGAAGGCTTCAAAACGTTCAATAGCCTGAAGTCTGACATCGCTATCAGGCCTCAACTTTAAAACATCCATGTGAATCTTTTCACGAATTTCTTTCATGTCTCCTGCAGAGGGCTTCACGGCTAAAGGCTTGCTTTTTATAGAAGACTTTGCTTGAAGCTCGGCGATGGCAGAAACATTTGATAAAACAGTCGTAATCGAGTCTAAATCTTTGTTCAAATCGGTTATAAGGTTCGTATGATTATCCAAAAACTCTTGCTCTTGCACAATGGCATTCAACTCTTTTTCCCATTGCTTTTTCCATGTCGGTGTTACTTCTTCTATTGCTTTTTGCAATTCATGAATACTACTTTCAATGGATTCCTTTTCCTTAACCAAATAAGAAATTTGATCCAAACCAGGGCGGACTTTTCGAAGCAAAACGTCAGACCTCAAGAGCTCAATTTGATCATTAATGTCATCGAACCTTTCAACTAATGATTTAGCAACAGCTTCAATGGTATCTTTGCTTTTCAAGATATATCCACGGTCAAATCCAAATCCAGAGGCCTTCTCATTAATTATACCCATCTGTTTTCTAAATTCATTCAGTTGTAACGGAATTTTCGTGAAAGATGCAGCAAACACTTGCTTTAAAGAAGCTAAATCTAATTGCATGTTTTTTACTTGTTGATAATTCGTAGCATTTGTCACTACTTTATCACTTTTAGCGGTTTTGGAAGCAGAGGAAGACTGGATTGTTGCATTTGTAATATGCTCACTGCCTAACTTCCTTTCTATAACATTCAGCCGTTGAAGTATTTCCTCAAATATAGAAGAATTATTTATTCCATCGTCTTTTGAAAAGATTTCATAAGGCCGAGTGGCTTCGCCTACAGCTTCAACATTGTCAACCGGTGATTCTTCTGGGACTTTTAATTGTTTCTGAGCAATAATTAATGATTTAAACTTCATGTCTGAGTAGTCTTCTAATAAATAATTCACTTTAGTATCGTAGTCTTCAATGTAAAATTCAAAGGGGACATCTTCGAATTCATTCTCAAATTTAGACTGAAAAAGGGCTTGTAATTTCTCCTGGGTATCAACTGCAAAAGGAGAAATCGCTTTACGGGTCCTGTTGTTTAGTTTTAAGAAATAAACGAAATTCCTGTGAGCTTGTTCAAACTCTCCCTTAACTTCCCCTTTCTTATCCCAAGGTTCATCCTTGACGTTAGCAAAATTCTGAACCTCCTTTGGCGTTTGCGAGTTATCGTCTGCAAGTTCAACAATGCCAGATGGGGACGGCCGTTCATCACCAGAAGTGTAATCACTATCGTGCTTTTCTTCATTATTGGATGTTGTTTCGTCCTTATCCTTTGGCAATAGTGTACTATTGTTTCTAACCAAACGATCCAGTTCTTCAAGTGAATCGTTTTTTTTGCTTTGATACATTTCATTGATTGATATTTCAGCGTTTAACCCAGAAGAAATGGATTCTTTTGTCTCAGCGTCTCCTATTTTAAGCTGATCCTCAGTTTCTTTATTTTCTCGAACCCGAGTTGATTCTCTATTCGGTTCAAAATTACTCTTCTCAGATACTCGTTTACTTTGTTGTAAATCGTGTAAATCTCTGTCGCTCTCTTTCTCGACTTTGTTGTATTCCTCAAAAGATTCCACTTCTTGTGAAGGCCTTCTTATTTCCTGCGAATTTTCAAATCTCGATCCTAAACTTGTAGATGCTTCATTCGGAATTGGGGAAGTGAATGAACGGCCTCTCGGTAATAATACAGGAGTACCAGAAGGTAAAAAGTTGGGAGAAGCAGTTTTACCGGAAGAAAAAGACCTCGTTGCAGAAGAGGTTGTCATAGATCTTTGAGGGGATCGTTGATCCTTTTTCGGCGAAATGGGGGTATTTAGATTATTCATTTCATAAGAGTTATAATTACGTTGACTAGGGTAAGAAGGAGAAAAAGATTGCCTATCTAATTTCATTGAATTAGACCGGGAAGACCCTCTGTTAAGGTTTCGACCTTTATTGAGATCGTTCCAACCAGTTTCTTCAAAAAAAGGGCCTAAGGTTACAGAACGAGGTTCTATTGTTGGGTTACTGACTGAAGAATTCGGGGGCTTGTAGTCTGCTACTTGCGAGTCGTTCAATAAATCACGCACAGATTCAACCGTTACCTCGTTTTTCTGAATAGTATCATTTAATCCTTGTTGAGTATTTTTATTCATCTTAGAAAAGCGTTTACTAGCTCGTCGTTCAAGAGAGGATGATTGCTTAAGAGCGTCTAAAGCATGAGGCGTATCAGAAAAAGCTAGAGGGTTTAGAGAGCTTTTTTCAGAATTTAAGCTTTTATTAATGAAATTATACTCATTAATTTCTCTCCTTTGAGTATTTTCTTCCGTCGACTCTCGACTTGCCTGGGACTCCTTTCGAGGTCTCAAATATCGTGATTTATATAGAGACTGCTTATATTTTAAGCTTTTGAGAAGATGTATGATAATCTCTCGGACATGTGGAAGATGAGCTTGAAGGGAATCCGTTGAAGGATTTTCAGCTAGTGTTTCTTCAAGAATAGAACGTAATTCAAGGGGAAAATCATCCAGGTCTAAACTTTCTATTCCCACTTCTTTAAAAATTTTTATAGTAATGTTGAATTCTGCAACAAGACGGACATAAATAGATGAGACATCGTCGGCTCCTGCAAGCCCTTTGCTCCACCTTGTTAAGCTTTCTAACAACTGTTTTGTAATCACCAGTAGTTTTGTAACGGAGGCTTCAATTGAGTTAGCTATTGGCATGAACTTATCGCCAGAATAGTTTCTAGCAGAGATTATTGATGGTGTCCTTTGTGAACTGGTAACTGAAGGATGACGTTGCGGCGCTGAGCTTCTGGAATTCGCTCTCTGTCTTGAAGAAGATAATTCTTGGTCATTGTTTTGAAAAGACATCTTAGAATTACATGAAAAGTCAAGCCTTAAGCCAAAACGATGAATAAATATTTATACGCATAAGATAAAAACAAAATATTAAGAAAATAAAATGGATGCACTGAAGAATATAGATTTTGCTATAATCTGGAGATGGTTGCGGTCCCACTCTGATAAGCTGTCGTGAAAGAGAACTTAAGGGTATAAACGAAAATCAAGCTTCAAATTCGTCAATACTTATCAAAATGAAGAGCTAATATAGCAAAATTCTATCTTAAACTTTTAAAAGTATACAGGCGTTAATGAGAATTAATAAAAGTACATTGGCAAAACTAACTTCATTATGAACGAAAGGTAGCTGAAGCAAATCCAGAATCAGGTACAAATAAGTACAAAAGCATAAAAGTATGTACATATATATATATATATTTAAAAACCCAGGAAACCGTGTACAATTACACATTACCGTTCGCTAATCAATATAGACAAATCATAAAGTTGGGTATTAAAGGGTATGAATATAACTTTTTGAAATAAATAAGAGAAAAGACAGCTGACCTTAGCTATCTGAATTCTCAGCTACGGGTTCTGCTGTTCTGGCACGTCTTTGCTTTCGTGGTTTGGCATGGTCAGTAGGCAAATTAAAATCTCTTCTCATTTTTGTGCGAAGCCCTGGAAGGGCATAATTGACACGCTTTTTCTCTCGTCTACTCCTTCCATCATTTAATTCCTCAGAAGCGGAGCGACTTGGCTGCTCAGGGCTATCGGGAGACACCGTTTTATTTGTACTTCCTGGAGGCCTGCCTCTCTTCGATTTTTTTACCGGTGGTTCTTCTTTTTTTTCCTTCTCTATAATGTTGTCATCTGCGGCGTGCGTTTCGAAAAATCTCAAATTGGTAACGGTGGACAGTAATTGGAGGTTATTATACGCAGATTCTTCATTTTGCGTTAGATTTAATGTTTCCTTTGTGGAACCTCTATCAGGTGGTGCACGGTTGTTCAGAATGCCCTGAAGCCAAAGCGGGTTAGAAGCTGTTGAGTCGTTCCTACTATTTCCAACTTCACCGTGTCGAGGAGGCTCACTTGAATATCTATCATTCGGTACCCTTAAGGCACTTAACGGCTCATCGCTATCTGAAGTATCTGAAGCAGCAGATATCCTTGATAATGAGTTTTTCCTCTTTTCCGGTAAGATGTGTGAATCCAGATGAGTACTTAATCTATGAGATTCTTGTACATTCATGTCGATAGTACCTGGATTCTGCCCCGATGTAGGAATTGGTTGAAAAGCTAAAGTCCCAGGGTTTTGCATGATCTCAGAATCAGCAGGATAGCCTGATGCCGTATCAGGTTCTTTTGAAGGCAATTGTTGAGGCTCTATAGTAAGGCTAAACGGATTTGACAAAGGAATATTTGGATTTTCATGACCGGTGTGATATGAATCATTACTTACTCCAACTTCCTGGGAACTCTTGGATTTTGAATTTTGAGGCAATTGCGTCTCAACAGAAGCTTCATTAGCTGTATTGCGGGAAGAAGAAGCTGAGAGGTGTCGTTCATTATTAACAGGGACAGTATTGGAATTTAACACATTAAAATTATCCGAACTTTTGGAATTTAAAACGGGTGGCTGGTTGTGCAATTCATTACGGACATTGCTTCCATTTGTTTCAAAAGATTCCGGGGCGTCGGGAGTTATTTCGGCTGAATATTTGACATTCGAGGAAACGTTATTTTCTTCTCTGGACTCGTTAGATGATCTAATGATTTCGGAAGGATGACTCCTAGTTTTTTCTTCAGAATTTTCTTGCTTTTCGTTTCCTTGATGCTTATCAGTGAGTGAACTTAATGATTTTTTTGGAGCGTTGGTCGAAGGCTCGCTTTGATGCCCATCACCATTTAATAGACAGCTTAAGTTTTTTATTGTTGCATCCTCATTTGCCTCTTTTAATATATCCTCAGTTTCTTTAACAAAGGTTTCCTAGTAAAATGGTTAAAATGGGTAAACAAAAGTTATAACCTTACCTCATCCAGATCTTCTTGGTCCGTTTCATACTCTCTTGACATTTGAGATTCCGAAGTTCGAAACAAGTCTATTTGACATTAACAACTGAAAAATGGATAACAGCTATCTTACCTTGCGCATCTTGGCGATATTGACTTAATGATTTTAGAAATGACTCAGCTCCACCTTGGCATTCTGACAAAATAGAATTAAGCCCCTCTTGTAATCTTTCGTTTTTAATTTGTTGGGACTCTAATTGTTCTTCTAAATTTATTGCGACTGATCGAAGGTCTATGTTTTCTGACAATAACCTTTCATTTTCCAATTGAAGTTCTTTTATACGAGCCGATTGGGCTTTGCTTATTCTAGATTATATGTTAATTAAAAATTGATTAGTATAATGAACAAAACTTACCGTATTATTTCCTTGTATTGACGAAGCTGTTTCTTCTTAGCTAGCAATGTTAGCAGGCGTTATTTCAATTCACGTACATTCTTCCAAAGTCAAAGAGGGAGATGCTGTTGACATGTTCTTTTGTTTTTCTCATTTAATTCCATCTACTATTAAATTTTAGTCCAAAGTATAAATGCGAAGTGCTGTGTGCTTGTCAGTTGGTGTTGAGGTACAAGCAGTTGACGCTACCATTCAGACCGTCCAAGTTGAAAGTTCGCGTGTTCTTAAGAAAAACGGAAATATATGATAAATAAAAGATTGAAAAAGTTACAGTTAATATTGAAATAGCATATTCCTTATTATAGAAGAAAGTAATAAGTTCTCGACTTCGAGGTAAACTCATCGGTTATTCTACTTTACAGATAGATTGCATTCTTTATTTCTCAACATAGTGTACCATACTTTAATTTTTCAAATGAGCTCTTTGTAAAACATAATGAAAACAGAAGAAAGTGATCAGCATTATAATCCCCAATTTTCAACCTCATTGCTTAATTCTTCTTCGTTATCATCCCATTCTTGCATCCACTCCTCATCAAGTTGATCTTCGGTTTCAACATCAAATGCAGCAGCATCAGATCTTTCATGGGCTAAAATATTATTTGCTAACTTTCCTTTGGTCTCTTCATCGTTGTTTGAACCTTGAACATTAGAAGATCCTATAGAACGGTTTGCGCTGCTTTCTTTTGGTCGGGGTGTGGATGACGGACGGAAGAAGATGTTAAGAAAAGAATTGCTAGATACTTCAATTGGTTTGTCTTCTTCACCTTTGTTAAAGTCTTTGATTCGATTAAGAAATTTTTGAGTAACCTCCTCGGATGAAATGCGTAAAGATCTAAAGCAAGGTTAGTAAACAAGAAGTTTTTAAAGATTTTTGGGTCTCATACTCATTATCGTCAATTAATAGAGGCACCACGCACGGAAGGAATTTAGTAGCCAGTTCTTTTGTTGAAAAATAGCCAGCCGTGGCTAGCATAACATCCAAAGCGGCTTTTCGGGCATCAGCAATAGGATCCCTAAGTGATTTAGACAATGCAGCTACTAGAACACGTATTCGGACCTAATTGAGTTAGAAATGTCACGCATTAAACGCTTACATGTTGGTCCAAGTATTCTGAAATCTTCCCAAGACAAATAATCGAGTTAATTCTAATGGAGGGTTGAGGATCATTCTGTAGTAAAGCAAGCGTCCGCAGTAGGTCGTTATTTAACGCTTTTTTAGAAATCTACCATAATGGTTAGAAAAATACATCATATAATTTCGTGGCTTACTTTCGGTGCGATTGCGGAATAAAGCAAGATTGCCGAAAATTTTAGTTTTGAGTCATTAAATTTGACAAAATTGCAATATAACAGAAAAGCGTCATCACTTGTTAAGGTTGGAGGCAGAATATCATTATGCTTATACAACTCGTTCACCAGTAAGCACCGTACTCTGTTATTCGTAGTCTTTAGACAAGATAAGAGAGGGATTCCAAAATCCTTTTCAAAGTCCTTATTATCATTTGTAACAGATGCTATAGAAAATAAAATTTCCGAAGCATCAGTAGATGTATCTGCTGTTTTAGCTACCTGTAAAAGTAAAGTTAACATACCTGACTTAAGGGCTAAAAATATGACAGGCAATATTCTTTTTTGAACATAATTGGAAGACAAGAAAGACAAATAGGTTTTAAGCAATCTGTAAAAATGATAAGCAAACAATACTTAGACAAGCAAAACACATACTCAAAAAGCTTTTGACAATCACCCGGATTTTGGATTTGCAACTTGTTAATCATATCGACCATGACGATAAAATTGGATCGAAAAAATCCACCAGGTCTTTCACCAAGCCGTAAAAATTCAGATATACCGATCTGTTGTTTTGGCTCTGGCGAGATCAATTTTTTTAATGAGTTGTGCAGATTCTATATTAGTTAGATAAGACTCTTTATACGTAAAGAATAAACCGAATGCTTACAGCAGGTATGTTTTCTCTTTGGCTAAAGTCGACGGCTTTAGTATAAGTCGGATTAAAAACTTGGTAGACCAAATAAGTAAACTCGATACGGTCTACTTGTGAAAAGTCCCTATGCACAAGTTAATGCCGAATTAATATATAGCCTTACCGATGCAAAACAAGATCCCTCACAATGGAAGAGGCTAATGAGGTAAAGGGATTTAGTGCTTGAAAGTTTTTCTACATTTAGTTAGTATTTCCAATAAAAGTTTCAAACATACTTTGAAGGTGTCAGGATTGGAGCTAGTCAAAAAGAAGTCACCCAAAACCCATTCAAAAGTCTCACTCAAATAAATAGAAGACAATTGGACATTTCCGTGAATGCAATTCTGTTCCTCAAGGAAAGACAGTGCAGACTGTGAATGAAGGTTAACATGATTAAATCCAGCGATGTATTCTTCATCAACGTACAGCCATTCTCCATAAGCCACATATTTTCTGATAATTATTAAGCGAGCTCAACTGATTTGACAATGGTTGGACAACCTCGGTAGCTATGTAAAGTGTAGTAGACTAAGCAAAAAAAGTAGATTAGCAACCAAGTTCTCCCATCAGTAAAACATACATCTTTGTGGGTTCCCAATATTTTAATTATACAAGGATGTCGTATACCTTTGAGTTGATCAGCAGATTGTTCAGCAAGCCTTGTCAACTCGGGACGAGCTGCTATTGGAATTGAAAAGATACTGCACGTCTGACCTGTTTGCTATATATCGTTTGTAAGCATAGATATCATACTTATTATCTTTCAGCAAGCTTACCTTTATTTTTCCGTTATGCAGAGTCCACACCGATTCAGACGCCAATGGTACCTTTTGATCCAAATCATAAGGAAACAGAAAATTCGCCTTTGAAATGAGTGATGCAGCAGACTTAAAGAATTCCATTGATTAAAAGTAAAGCCTTACAAAGATTGAAGAATAAAAAGCCTAAGAAGTCTATGACTATGTGAAATTTAGGTTTTCAAAGAAAAGCAATTTGAACAAAGGTAAACGAAGTAGGCTCACAAATATATGATTTTCTATACAAATCCTCAAATAGAAAATTAGGCAGCTTCCAAGAGCTGAAGAGGTAGTGCTCTAAATACCTCACTCGCAAAGTATTGTGAAGGTGTTCGCCAGTGTGAATGCACAAAAAATCAACTCATAGAAAGCTAGAGAGCCTACTGGTTTTCACTCATACCCTTTTTAGTTTAAAAGTATTTTACTTTTAGGAAATATAGAGCAATTCTTGTGAGATCGCTTGTCAAAAATTTTGTTTACATCAATTAGTGATTGCTCTCTTTATGATATATATATAAACTAATGCAATATACGTATAACAGGCCGTGTGGTTTAGATGGTTATAATTTCTGCTTAACATTTGATGTTCGCAGACGGTCCCAAGTTCGAGTCTTGGCACGGTCATCTATTTTTATATCCCATGCTCTCATTGTAAGCATGAAGGCTGCAAAGAACAAGTTTTTTAGATCGTTTTTGTTTTGTAAATTTATACTGTTCGAGATATTAAAAAGAACAGTATGTTTAATAATGACTCTAATCATATTGTCTTTTTACATAAAGTAATATGCTTCTAAAAACGCGTTTAGTATTGCAAAAAGTATCTAGTAATATGTTTATTATGAAATGCTATATCATATATATATGCTTTTAGCTGCCTTCATTGTCAACAATTCAACAAAAGCAATAATGAATGGGTATTATTTTTTACTTTTTTATGAATCTCTCACGGTTTTACGTACTATTATTTACTTAGTAATTTTTCATTCTGTACAAGTACATCCTTCCATGCCTTAATCAAACATCAATACTGGATGGTTAGACTACTCAATTTTTAGAAAAAGTAAAAATACGAATTTGATTTTTTATAAAATATATAGAACAAACCAGTTTTCGTGTTCATTAAATTGTTTGCTTGACGTACCTAACCATTTTGTACACTTCTGTCCTTTCACAAATGGTTAAGCCAAGGCTAGTTTTCTTGGCTATCGCAGGACCAAAAAATGAACAATTGTACCTAGAAGTTTTTGATTCTGTTGAAGATTCTTCATTATCAAAGTATCAATATTTGAGCGAACTAAGTTTGGATGTTATTCAAGATTTAATTCATGATTCAGAAAGGACTTCTAATGATTGCTTCTTAGGACTATTGGGCGTGGAAGAGGATATAAGTACCTACGCATTTTGTAGTAACACAAATGTAAAATTCATCTTGGCAGTCCGTTCATCTGATTTGGTAGTTCGTGAATCAGAAATCCGACAGGTAAGAATAAGCCAACGTACAATGTTTCTCTATAAAATCTGTGTATTAATGCGATTGACTTAGCTATTGCGAAGAATTTATACTATCCATACTCATGCTGTGTGTAATCCATTCTCGCTAGAGCTAACTCCTGACACTCTGAAGCATTCCCTTTATTTTAATGAGACCCTACGGCAGCTAAATTCTGATTGGAGTAATCAATAAGTGTTTACGTGAAACATCGTGCTGAAGCTATTCATATATTCAATTGTGTTTATTCCAGTTCAGGACGCAGTTTAGATTAACAAGAATCACTTTTCTTTCATAAACTATATGTACATCTATCCATTTCGTGTTTATAGCCTAACTTAAATATCGCATAACTTTACCTTTTTATGTATTAAGTGATATGATACTAATATTAACCGACAAAAAGAACCAAGCAACATACAAACCCTTTTTTCCTTAAGCCATGTCATAAACCTGCAATGAGCCTGAATCTCCAGAACGGGTGATTGATGACAAGACCATCTGTCGCAACCAAGCGTTACGGACCGCATGGTCATAACGCTTTTGACTTAGGAATTGAGGACATCCTCGAATTAATCGAAAATCGGTTTCCCCATGTATGTCTAAGTATGGAGCGGGCACGACCATACCGGCACCGCTAATTCCATCTAAAAATAGAATTCCACACATTTTAGTTAAAAAGTAAATACCTATACCATCAGAGCATTCTCTAGAGTGAATATTACATTCACCAGGCTGTCTTTGTGCTGCGGTAGTAGTTTGCCGAGCACTAAAGCAAACCACACTTCCACATTGCAAACAAACCGCTGGTAAAATTGGAGTCTTATGACACATGCAGCAAATAGATTCTTGCATTATATCCATCAAGCTCTCTAGCCTAGATGGAAGCTTCAAAAGCTCGTATATACCAGGATATTCCAGTCTTGGTTTATTGACTTTTGTGTCGTTTTCAGCATAATGCTGGCACCAACCATTAATTAATTGCAGTTGTTCTGAGCACTGTTGACTTCCCAACCTTGTATATACTTCATCCACCATGGGAAGCTCCATTAGCTCGCAAAGTTGGGTAAGTTCAGTCTTCTCATAAAACGTTTCATCAATAGACTTTTCAAAATAGATATTGAAAAGACTGTAATGCACCAAAGAAACCCGCCTTAGGAATGGGAGCATAAACTTCTCAACCAATGTCAATAATTTCAGAAGAGTAGCTTCGCTTTCAAGAATGTGGCACTTTTCTTCAATGCCGCATGCACGGAATACATGTCCACAGAATTGACAGAATGCATTTTTAGCTGCATCGCTATATTTAATGGAAGGTTCGGCAAAAGTCTCCGTTTGTTCGACGTAGCAAGCAGTCTCAACCACAATTTTGCAGATATTAGCAATATAGTAAAGTTCAGAATAATAAGAAATATGTCCCTGCTTCTCATAAATAATCATTAGAGATACAGTTCTAACAAACTCATTGAATACATCTGAAGAAAGCAAAGGTTTAAAGCTTCCTGCTTCCAAAGTATTCTGGTTTTTGAGCAAAAATTCCTGAATATCTGATTTTCCATAAAACAACTTGCCAAGTTGACGATTTTGAGTCTTAATTAAATCGGAAGTCGCATCATCAGAGCTGTTAACCTTATGGCATAAACTTTTCATGACTGCTTCAGCAAAAGATAAAAGAAATGCCGAATTAATAGAACCGATGTTGCTAATCCAGACTGGAGCTTCATGGCTCTGACTGCTAGGTGTACCACGATAGATTACTTCTAATGAAGCAAGGCTATAACATAACGAATCTAACAGTTCATCTGGTAAGCTTCCTTTTGACAAATTGTCATCACTAAGCTTTGATGCTGAAAATTCCATAACAGAAAAATAGCGCTGGATAGCATCTTGGTTATCGTCCATACGGTTTTCCTCTTTCTGGATAACAGCACTTTGATTAGTGTTAATCCAAGGACGGCTTAAACAATTTTCAGCAACCTTTTTAGCAACGTCCTTCTCTGTGTTAGCCATACAAAATTCGAAACTCTCATTATTTTCAATAGTAAAACTGCTTAAAAATGCTTCCAGATTTTTATGGATGCCAAAATCATTAAGACGAAGACAAAGTCTAGGTGTATGAGTCGTGGGGATTATTACATTTGATAAATAACCGCAAAGAGGGCACATAAAATACCGAGTAGCAGGTGTAGTTTTATGCTTGTCATTTATATATGTTGAAGGGTCACTTCTTCTGAGGAGCCTTGAACTGGTGTATGTGTTAAAACACTGAGTGTGCATAAGATGACCACAACTAGAAACGTAAAGACCTTCAATATTATGGTTAACGGGATATGCTCCCAAAATGCGGCTCTTCGTTTCATCTAAAGCAACCTTTTCAGTTTTTTCGCCAAAAGGACGATCAAGTACTTGCGCATTGAAGTTAGAAGGTATAACAAATAGCTCTCGAAGAACCTGCTTTGTATCCGCTGTATCCCTCAAAAATTTGCTCTTTTTTATGGTACCCAGCATCCCATATGCTGCTTCTTCATTACAACTTTCTTGGCACAATAAGCAATTTCCACGCAGGTGCTCATGTTGCTTAAACGGTGGTCTGTACGTATATTCACCATACTCATCCTCATCATCCATGTTAAAATCACTATTTTGTGCCATAAAGGAGGCTTGCTGGGCTCGGAATTGCTGCATAATATTTTTCTGTTTTTCCAATGCAATCCGCTTTTTCTCTTCTACACGTTTCGCCTCATCAATAGCTGGCTCTTCACTGCCTAAATCTGCCGAGTTTATTTGAGTATGTTGTAGAATGCTAGCGCAAGCAGTAGAGTCGGATTTTTTCAAGGAACTTAAGAAATGATTAGCTTTAGCATGTAATGATTTTAACTTTGAAGAATTTATGACTTTAAAACATAATTCTGCTAAACAGCAGCTGGAAGGACCGGTATCTTCACCATCTGGAGAAACTGACTGCTTCTCATGACAACACTTCGTGTAGAATGCTGTAGAACCAGTAAAGTCATTGATCCTAGAGGAAATTAAACAAAGCTGGAGGACCTCATTAATAATTGTCTCACTAACGTCCACATTTTCCTGTTTAGCGGAAATAAGAAGAGCATACTCAAGAGAGCGAAGAAGGGTTAGATAAAAAACATCAGAATTTACCAGCGCAAAGAATATATCTTGGCCGTTCTTCTCTACAAGCTTGAAGTTGGGTTCAATAACAGCAGCTTCTAAGGGGATGTTCTTTTTATCAGACAAGCGTTTCTTCAAAACAGCCTCGGCCTCTTCTCTTTCATTCTTAGAATAGTAAGAACTATAAGGGTTTATTAAATCAAAGTACTCATCCTTCAGAGTATATAAACCAAAATCGTGAAGCCCATCAGGAGGTTTATAGTTAGTCATCTCTTCTCTAATGGAATCAAATGATGAATCTTCAACTAAATTGCCTGAAATTTTATATAAAAGCGCCGAATAAGCTAAAGGTCCAAAACATAGTTCGTGGGCCAATCTAACCCGTATTGTGTCTTGAATACTCATTCTCAATAAGCTTTCACGTTCCGTTGTTAAAGTTATCATAAACTTCAACAATGAACCAAGAAGTCTAGGGATTTTTTCGGAATCGTAATGCTCATGTTCATTAAATTTCCTATCAAATACCCAATCCGTAAACTCAATTCTTTGTAATATAGCCTTCATCCCTACATCAGGATTTACTTGCGAAAGCACTCTCTGAATCAATAGTATATCTTTATCAAAAGTATACTCCCTGTTTCCTGGGAAGGGCTCACGGAATTCTTGAAGGTACACATAAAGTTGACGATAGAAACGAGTAGTAAGCAAAAGGTTATGTCCATTTCGAACCCAAAGATTAGCATCTACCTGCATCAGGAAAGCAATTACTCTCAATGGATGATCAATCAATGCAAAAAAGGTTTCCTGATCAAAAGATCCTAAAACATCCGAATCACAGTAGGAAAGCACTGTCGCTAAAGCCCAATGTAGAGGATGATTAAGGCTTATAGGGTCAACTGATACAGAAAAAGGTTTAAGAGGAAACCGGGAATTGAATGAATCAGACGGATCATCAGGAACACATTCCAACGGTTCGCGTGGATCGGAAACATCATCTTTAGGCTGAGTAATGGCAATTACCAAGACCTGAACAGCCTGAAGTAAGTCATTGCTTGATGCAGTCTCATAACACGAAGCGACTTGCTCACTCAATTCCGATAATCTATGCATCAAGAAAATATTTTTTAAACGCGTAACATCCCACTGGACATGAGAGTGCGTAGCGCGTTTTTGAGGAGAGTTACCTTGGAAAACGCGCAACAAGTCTATCCACTGATGGATATAGCGAGAATCTTTAGTAACCAAATTTTTTACTTGAGGAACTTGAAGCAAGTATTTCAAGTCGTGGAATAGATTAAATGTTCGGCGGCTCTTTAAAACTTGGTCATTTAACTTTATCTTTTGTACCCCTTCGGTTTCACCAGCACTTGGTTGCACAAGAAGAGAAACCGCGGCTGAATTAATATCCGTTAACAAATCATAATCCTTAACGACAGCCTCGGCAATACTAGGAGTAGTAAAGAACTGAACCGAAAGGAACATGACTGAACGATCAGGTTCCCGATCAGCTAGAACGAACGCACTGGCAAGATGCTTGTAATGAATAGCAAATCTAATACCCATAAGCCTTTTAAAAGCCAAGTTTCTGTTAAACGGAACAACATAGAGTCTTGATAGCAGAGTCCGCAATTCCTTCCAAAACTTCAAGTCAAAAACTAATAAATAATCTAAACGAAGACTAAGATATGGAGATTCAGCTACATCCTTAAAATTTGAAGGTTTGTAAGTAGGAGGTTTTTGCCAATATGAGTTTTGAAGAGGAACTTGAAAAGCCATATTGGGACGAGGCCTTCGGCGTGCGGTAATGATCTGACGCAAGTTGTTTAGTAGCTGGGGATTGAATTCCGGTCTTATAGTTACTACAGTCTGAGCAGTATTTGGTGGAGGAGGCAAAGGCGTTGTAGCTTGTTCTGGCGTTGCTTGTTCAGTATTACCATGCGTAACATTGTTTTCCTGAACAGTAGTATTTTCTTCTTCTTCTTCTTCTTCTTCTTCTTCTTCTCCTTCTTCATCTTGTTCGTCATTAACGTCATTCATTGGGGAATCTATAGCATTTTCGTCGTCTAAGTCATGTAGCAGCTCGCGCTCTGCTTCTGAATCCATAGTAATGGCATTTTCATCATCGTCATTTTCAGCACCAGTAGCTCGGTTAAAATCTATTCCGGCTGTTTCTGCCTCACCATCATTATCTTCAGTTTCCATGTCGGTAATGTCAGTGGGTAGATTATTATTCTCAAGGTTGGCAATGACTCCCAAGAGTTCTTCTGCAGCATAGAACTCATCTTCACTGTCATCGTCATTAGCAATTTCCATCGGAAGATTGCTAAAGTTCAAAGACGGGTCAGTGGGTTTCTCTAAACCGGGAGACCACTGCTTCAGCATTTCATTACAAAACACAGTCTGGATATAATTTGGGAAGTAGCAGACATGAGAATCTAACAAATCCTCAAGCCAGTGTAATAAAGTACTGCAGTCATCCTCGCGAAAAAAATCTCTAGCAGAACGAACATTAACGGCGAGATTATTACTGGAAATAATTCTGGCAATTCTCAATAGCTCTTGGATAGAGGTGGAAGTTTTAATAGAAAATCGACCGATAGAATCTACCCGTTGAGCGACTTGTAAACCAAAGCTTTCGCTGGCTGTATTCACAGCACGTTGAACGCAATGAACGACACCTTCAAAGGTGTTAAATTCATCGTTCCACAGCATTACACGGAAAACATCACAAGATTTATCAACGGAACCATATTTAGCAGTGCTTAGGCGAGACGCCTCCTCATCAGCCAAGACACTTTCGACAGACTGTTGGGCTTTAAGATTGATAGATGAGCAAGAAAAAACATCAAGTACAAAGTCAAGTACAATTCGAACTGTCTCAGAAATCGATTTTTGTAGCTCAGCAGGAATGCATTTCTCAGGAGAACTATCATCTTTTGTTTCTGAGTGGCTGTGAATTTTGCAAGGGAGATCGACTTTCCATGCCTCAGGATCTCCGCAATCACATACGCCACTGAAAGAAGTTGATATAGAAACATGCGTTTCATGGCCTTCATGATTTGTAGAACGAAAGCAGGGTGCACACAATACGCAGGTACTGTCACTCCCGCAAGTTTTACAGCGATATATAACTTCGCCATCTCGGAAAACATGGCCACAAACTTCACTGCCGGTTCCCTTGTTTTGTAGTTCATCAAAATATTCAGGTTCAGCTCGTTGCGAGCTAGAAAGAGAAAAACTTGATGTAATACTTTGTGGCTGCCCTTTTAAGAAGTACTTCCAATTGTTTTCGTCATAATTCAGCAAAGATAGATATACTTCTTGTAAAAGATGAGCTTTCGATTCATCGTTGGAATCATAAGCATGTCTTTCCGCACTCTCCAAAAGATACCTTTGTAGTCGGGTCGGAGTACTCTGCGCAGACTGCTGTGAAACGTTGTGTTCTAGCATGAACGCCAAGTGGTAAGCTGTAAAACGGGAAAATTTACAAAATCCAAAAAGTCAGGACAAGAAAATGAAAAAGTGACTTAAGTAATAATCCTTAAGTGCCTTTCTCTAATATAAAATAAAGAATAAAAAGGTACTATTCAATAGATGTAAAGTCTTTTGCAAAAGTAAATTTGAAGTATATTTACCACTTCCTTAGTAACTAACTAAAGGAATAATAGAAGCACATATACTGAGGTTGCTGATCTCAATCCAATCGACTAAGGATCCTATCAGTGCTTTTTCGCAAAAAAAATCAATATAATCTCTCACGAAATACCGTCAAACAAAACTTTTTTTGCTTCCTATTTCTCCTTACCCTTTATGGCTAAATGACAATCGCCTTAATCAAGACAGGAAAGACGTATTATGAAGGGTAACATTGTAACTCGGGAGTAAAGTTAAAATTTTTAAAGTGCTGCTATCAATGCTGGATTTATCAAATTGATATAAATGCTTTACGAAACATCTGTGACCTAGCTACGGGTCTTCAATAAACAAACCTGATAACTTTTGGAACTTGGAGTATGTTTCAGCGAGTAAGAATGATATAGCGGAAATAGGTACATGAATTTTGAATTTATTTTGAGTAGAAAAAGAAACGTATCAACCATTTCAATATTGATTTCATTAACTCTTGAGTTAGAATTAGAACCTAAGAAAAAAAGTGTCGCGAACCGGGATCGAACCGGTGACCAACAGATCTTCAGTCTGTCATGCTCCCAACTACACCACCGCGACTTTCGTTGTAATCCCTTTTAGCATATAAGTATTTATATAAGACAGTAATGATGTATGTTTTTTGAAAGTGGTGGCTGTTAACGTGGCTGTTAACATAAACAATCCAGATGCAGACCAGGAGGACGGAGTGATCCCTGTTGAGAATGACCGCAATAAATTGGACACTTTACGTTTACTTTGCGTTGAATATCATTTCGTTTAAAAGTATGAACAAGATGAAGACTGTGTGTGTATGATAAATTTTTTTTATTTTTTGGATTCTCAATTAGAATAAATAACAACAGGTATCATTTCTAATAAAGAAGGAAAATACGAACATATTGACTGCTTGTAAAAAAAAGAAAACAGAAAAAGAGAATTTCAAATGAAATTTACTATAGGTTGCTCTAGACATTTATTTCCTTTCTACTTTTTTATATTTACTTACTATACAAAAAGTAGCAATAAAAAATTGATGAAAAAAAAGGGCCCAACCGGATTTGAACCAGTGACCTGGGGAGCTGCAATCCCTCACTCTACCACTGAGCTATGAACCCTTAGTTATGATATGATAAATGGATAAATTATATAACTTAAGGGAAAATGAAGGCACGTAGCCAACATGAATAAAAAAGTATTGGTTTAAACTAACAATCTATCTTTGTTCTTCTACAGCGTCAATTGCCCTTATGAGATCTGCATTATTTTACTTTTAGGATGCTTCGTTTTCTAATTTCGATCAAAAGGAAAGAAGCAGTAGATCATTAAAAAGCGAACATCTAGCGTAAATACTTTGTTTGCAAACGACTACGGTACATCCCTGGTTACTATAGAATATACGTCTTGTGAAAGAATCATTGCCTTTTTCAACTAACCAATTTCGTAAACAGTTCATATGCTAATGATATCAATTGCAATTCATTCCAGCCCGCCTCCTAATTTATACTAATCTGATTATTCGGGCATTTCTAAACAATATTGGTTGTTACAACAAAATTTGAAGAACCACCAATTCATGAGTTTCAAAGTTGACCTCCGAGTGATATGTCTTTTGAAGCTAAATTAGGTTTAAAAAAGCTCAACCATATTCAATAAGGTGTCGCTTGGTATTATTTCATCTTCACAATGGGGAAGAAGATCGCAAATCTTTTCAAAGGTTTCAATCCGAAGTCTCCTTAAATCTTCGAATCCCAATTTCTCTTTGAAAATACCTGTAATCATTTGAACCCAAAACGTTTGATGTTTTTTAAACTTTGGCTGTAATTCAGTTTGTAAGTAATAAATGGCCTTAACCGGATCCTTAAATTTTAGCTCATAGAACCTGAGAAAAGTTAGCTTTGGTTCTACAATCCTCATACCTTTGGATATGCAATTCTAAAAGAACTTGTTCATATACTGTATCTTGACCCCATTCTTCATTAATTTGGAGTTTCCAAAAGTCTTTCAGTTTCATTGGTTTTAAAGGATGAGAGCTAGCATTTCCACCAGAAATGTAGAATGTTTCAGTCTCCCAATTAACTGCCAAAGCATGACCAAACCTGTCGTAAATTAGCCCCTTCCTGAAATTTGAAAAAAATAGATCTTACCTTGCACAAGGATGCGGATTACCGATTTTCTCATTTATATCTATAACCTTTTTCCACTGCTTCTGTTCGATATAATAAGCCCATATACTTGGCTGCAGGATTTTATGATACTCTCGTTGTTCATATCCATAGAAGGCGAAAATCCTCTTTTTTTTTTCATCAAGTGAACTCCGTTGACAAAACGCCGGATATGGACAATCTTTGCCACATTGGGACCAATCATGGCTTTGCGCTTCCCAACTGGAAGTGTCAATAATATGCATGTCTGCAAGGAATTCCTGGTCATGGGTTTGCCCGCCAAAGACATAAATAAGATCTTCATCTGCTGCGTATTCCATACAATGGCCCATTCTTTCGGTAAGCAAATTCATGTTGGCATTCAAAGATTTAAAAGCAATCAACTTTCTTTCCCAAATGCCATAATCTACATAATATAAATAAAAGGTCTCAAAGACCAAGTCCCCTGGATCCCATTTGCATCCTCCACAGACATATAGTATATTCTCCTTTTCGTTCAAGGTCATAGCCTGGTCAAAGATAGCCATTGGACCTTGCTCTATAGATGTGTCTTTAGACAAGCAAGTCCAGTATCCTTTTTTGATATTGTATTTCCAAAAATCTGGTTTGACATCTGGGCTTACAAGACTTCCTCCTGCGGTGCCGAAATAATTACCAAGTAAATAAATACATTGCCGCGAAGAATCTAATACCATTCGATGACATACACGTTTTCCTGGAGGTCTTAATCTGTTAGAAATATAAAGGTGACTAAAATCATACTGATTAGGTCCCAGGAGGCTCCAACTTTGAGTTTCGACGGAGAATTTCCAAAGGTCAGAAAACGTCTCAATTCCGTCCCATCCACCGTAATGGTAAATACTATTGTCCTAATTTGTTTAGCTTTGTGATATTGGACTATAAATGGAAGCTTACTTGAGGATTATAAACCATCTGGTGTCCACTTCGAGGACCGATTCCACGACTAAGTAAAGAGATTTCCTTAGTGAGTATTTTTGGCTGGGCTTCCTTCTTCCATCTTTGACTTAATTCTTTCCAAACCTTCTCTTCAAATAAGCGAATGGCATCACACAAATCGCCTGACTCGCAGATTGCACTGTAAAGCAGATTTAATGGCGAAAGCATATAAGGTATTTGGTAGTGGTGAGCGATAGCTGAACATACCTGACTATTTCCTTTGTACAAGAAATAAGAAAGCAAATATTTTATCGCTTTTGTTTCTAGTTCCTTGACTCGTTGTTTTTCAGTGGCCGACAAACAATGAGGAGCATTATATCCATGCAGTTCAACATACCATATACTAAGGTTAAATTCAGGGGCATGTGCCTGTAGAGGAACGATTTTAATATATTTGCAAGCAAATGGAAAAACATTTGAGTTCTCTTTTTGTGACTGAAGAGTGAAAGCTTCTGTGTTTGAGTCATTGGTAAGACCGGCTTTAAGAAGTAGTAAAAGATGCCACTGATCTCTGCCGCCATAGACTGCAAATCTAACTTGTTAAAAACAAACTCCAAATATCGATTGTTTAGGCTTTACATACTCTTTCAAATTACAAAGATGCGGTGCACAATATTTTCCGAACAAAATGTCTGTGACCACGCAGGGTTCTTTTAATTTTAATAAGATAAACTGCGTATCTAGTTTTGAGAAGAATTTGGAGTTTGCGCAACTCCAACGGCTTTCGACTTTTCGAGGTTCATGTTTGGCAATATTGTACGGATGATATTTCCCAGAATAACTTGACCAGTCATGAATAGTATAAGGAAGAATTTTCTTTTCCATTAACTCAAATACTAAATTCCAGCCTGTTTGGAAGACTTACCTAACAAGTGGTTTTGTGTAAGTTCTGCTACGAATGTAAACAAACATGGGAAAGTGCATTTACGAAATAAAACCGAGAAAATCACACGAAAACGAAGTGAATACTTTTGGAATAGGGTTTCATTTCTAAAGGAAGAAGGTCTACTAATTTAAACGACACATTTTTGATTCTTTTCAGTTTGTTTACACGTTAAGTAAACAAAGCCGAAACAGGATGAGAGGACCATTCACAGACGAATAAAAAGATTAATCTGACCCCTTTAAAAGAATAAAAAGAGCAACAAAAAAAGCCTACAGCACCTCGGATTCCCATGTTGTCTCCAACCATAGTACTAACGAGGCCCTCAGACGCTTAACTGCAGTGATCGGACGGGAATTGGTGTTTTCGCCTAGGTATGGCCGTAGACAATTATACATTTCACTAAAAACCTTTATCTCTTGACGGGTGATTACCGTGTAGACAGTCTTATCATTGCTTTCAATATAAGTATTATGCTCAATTCTGCGATCAGTGCGAACGTTACAACACTTTCAATCCATGTTTTTTTCTGAAAGCCCAAAGTTATGTCTGCACATAAAGTGCAGTCTACTTCTTGAATCGGTTAGAAAATTTTTTATACGAACAACAACCAAGCCACGTAGAAAATTTACGCGTCATAGAGGACCTGTTGATGCCAACTCTCATTCTGTTTTCTAGGAAGGGTTGTGATGTTGGTTATTGAAGTTGGTCTTTTGTCTAGTAAACAATACTTATTGAATGAATAGCAAGGTACATTCAGACTTGCGGACTCAGTAATGAGTATGTTTACTTTTTCTTGTTTGTTTCAAAGTAATCGAAGTCAAGCTTAATGCATCTCTTCTTCTGCTTTTTTATTGGGTTTGTATTTAGCTTTGTTTGTAAATAGGAATGGATTGTTTACATTTTGTTACCCCAGCAACACCAGCTCCTTAAAGTAAAAGGACGCACACGTCTTTATTTATAAACATAACAATCATTCCTCCTAAAGATTTTTACTGCCATTATTAGGCGCCGCTATACCGTTAAGCTTTACATTTCTAAAAAATTTCACAGTGTTTTAGTTAACGGTATTTTCTAATTAACAACAATTCACAGCTTAACGACGAGAGTTTCATAAGTGTAACTTAATTTAGGCGTCCCTCTTTTGATATTGTTTTGTGCAATCGGTTTCATTCCATTCCTTTCTTTTCGTAACGTTGCATATCTTACAATTAAACAAGTCTTCTTTGTAAACATTGGATTCAGTTTTCGTTTATCAAGATTTCCTTCAAAAAGGTAAACCTTACAGAAAAGATATATCTTGGCTGTCTTCTATTTTGATTTCTGGTAGAAAGTATGGGGCTTAAACTACTTAAATTTGTGTTTATGGGATCGGCCGTCTTGTGTACCTTAGTAGGCGGTCTTTTATCCATTCTCTGTATTATCAACCAAACACAACATAACGTTGCTTTTCAAAATATATACTTCGTTCAGCTCAACACCACCTCGATGTTTTCTGTTAACAATGCTACCGAGCTTACAAAATCGATAGGAGATCAAATTCAAGGTGATCTGGCAACTCAATTGTCTTCTGAACTTCAAAATGATAACGAGCAGATTCAAGCTATAATCACGGAGCTGGAAAAGCAAATGAAACAAATTTCAGGCATTCCCGATTGGTATTCTATTGGTCTCTGGAATTACTGTAAAGGCAACGCAACAGACTACACAAATCCTACTTGGTGTAGTAAGCCTTCGCCAAAATACTACTTTAATCCTATCAACATGCTCGAAAACGATCTTTCGAATGCTGCGAAAACCCAGATCAATCTCCGTTTATCTGACGAAGCCGAATACGGTCTGAAAATTTCCAAAGGGATTTGTTATGCTCTGCGAGCTATGTATATCTTAGGTTTTATGTTTTTCATTTTCACACTTGCTTCAGTATTAATCTCTTGGTGCCCTTTTTTTGGTCCTCTTTTAGTCTCTGTAAGCTGCTTCTTCGCTGCAGCCTTTACATTTGTAGCTGCAGTAATGGCCATTGCTTTTTATCGGGTTGCTAGTTCTAAACTCGAGGAGAATCTAACTATGTTGAACATTCCAATTATCTTAGGGAAAAAAATTTACGCATATTCGTTTATTTCCGCAGCTGCTGGTTTGGCAGCTCTAGTTTTGTTCTTTCTTGCCAATTTAAGTACTTATTCCCCTGTTTAATTCTACTTATTTATTAGGTTCATCCATTTTTTATTATATGGTTCCTTCACTCAAAAACCACTTTCTGTTACTTTCGTACAATGATACAATCGTGTATCTATTCCAGCTTATTTCGCTCTTTCGCTATTTTTCTTCATATTGCTTAATTTTCATAGATTATAATAAATTATTCAGCACAAATTCCTATCAAGTAGTCTATAGTGCAAAAAGATATTGTATCAAAAGAGTGTATCTGAAATTAAATTTTCATAGTTGTCAAGGAAATTCTTTGTCCTCCGCGATTAATTCTCTGATCCATGTTAAATAATCCATTCCCTCAGTGCGTTTCTTCATGTTTGTTTCCAAAAAATTCACAAAATTTGGACGGACTTGGCTTTTCATTAAGTCTTCCACTGTAACATAGGATTTTCCATCAGCAACGTCACAAAAGGCGTACAAAACTTGACGGGCACTGTCACGATCTTCTAGTTCCTCCATCACGACTTCTGTAAAACGTTCGCATGTAACCCCTTCTTCGCCATTCGATGCTCTCTCAAATAAGGCCATACCTTCTTCCGAGTCATAAACTAAACCCAATGAAGCCAATGCAGCATAAAATTCCAGCTCGTTCAACATATTTGACTTCTTCTTCTCGAAATGACGAAAGACGGTCGCTATACCATCTAATTCTTGCTTTGAGAGTGTACGTTTCTCTCTTTCCAAAATTTCATTTTGCAAGTACTTTATTTTATGAGCAATAATTTCAGCTGTAACACTGTATTCGTGTTCCAAATCATCATAGGAAAACAACGTGTAGTCGTTTTCTTCTATACCTGCTTCCTTACAATTGTCAGAATGTACCTTCACGCTAGCTAGTTCGATTTCCAAAGGGCCCAGATGCTCTTGTAAAAACTCAACGTGCTCTAACTGATCCCTCCATTCTCCTTGAAGGTTAGAAATCTCGTTTGAAATGGTTGAGAGCATTTTTGAGAAACTGTTTGCACGTTCTGCAAATGAAATACGCATGCTTTCTTTAATTTCTCTCATACGGGTATTAATTAACTTGGAGCGATCTGCTTCCTCAGTCAGAAAATCTTTCCATTCGCGTTCCAGATCCACGATCTTCAAGCCAGCAGGAGGCTCATATATTCGAAGTTGATAAGTTTTCAAACTCGTCTGTATTGTTGCTAGTAGTGACTCAAGATCAATTTTCTCTTTTACCCATTCTCGTTTTTCAGCTGCTTTAAAACCAACGAAATCCCGAGAATGAGCCTTAACGTCAGAATATGTGTTCTCAAAAGTAGAGGCTTTCCAGTACTCACGAACTCGAGAAATACTCTCTAGAAGTCGTTTCATACGAGTCTCATAGTCTTCCTGCATCGCACGTGTTAACATTAAAACTTCAGTAAATCTCTCAACTCTCCTCGCTGCAGTCTCAACTTTATCTAAAGTAGAAAAAGCATGAAAGTATTCGGCAATGTAAGTCATAATACTGCGTTCATCGGGACGATCGACATCACAAACGTCCTCGACATCAATCAAACGAGGGATACCAATATGCTCTTGGGCAATATCAAATGCTAGTTGCATATTTTTTCGATTCTCTTTTTTGTCTAGTTCATGGTAGTTTAACAGATCTGGTCGGTGCTTGTGAATTAAAGCGCAGAACGCCAAGCCGTTTGTCCAACTTCTAGAGAAATCATGAATCTCCACCTCTGGGCGATATTTTGCTGTTTTTCGTTGACACCATAACAGCAAACCTTCTTTAGCAGTCAAACCTTCTTCATTAATATCAGCAATTGTGAATCTTAAAATCAAAGTCCAGATAAGACCGAGAATCAATTTTAGATTTCCATCAACAATGTCTAAAATAAATTAGTTTTCAATCTTATGAAAAGAGACGAAATATTTCCCTAATTTGATAATGTCAACCCCATTCAGTTACGGTTTGTCCGTGTAAACAAAGTACTGGAATCGCAAAACTTTATAGGAAAGGAGTTGTATTACCATATTATTTCTTTATTATTCATACCAGCTGGACCAATGTTTGTTAAAGGCATTCCTTTACTCTTAATATATTCCAAGGCCTTATTGACATTTTCAAGTTTGTGTAAACGGAGACGAGGCTTTCGATTGTATTTTCCTAATTGTTCATCACCTATTATTTCTAACAGCTGAATCAACAGTATTCCGTCTGATAAATCTTTCCCAAGGTCAAAAACCGCAGGTAAATCGTGTAATGAAAGTTTTGTGTTAAACCTGTATTTATTTCGCGTGTTAATTCACATCTTTTTGATTATTTACTTACCATTTTGTAAAAGTTCTATTCTGCACGTTCTGCCATTGATTTGCTTGCATCAAAGGTAACTTTTCGTGGTAACTATGTTTTGGTGAGAGTAAATATTACAAGAAGGTAGGGACTATAAGTTAGGGGAAGTTATAAGTTGTACTGATTGATTCGTATCAATTTTATATCTTCTAAAATAAATGTATTTAATAATTATATTTTTAAGCTTTATTAACTTGCGTAAAACAAGCAGCGTCCATATCCATGTCGAATTCGAAAACTTGTCAGTAATAAAGTCCTATATTCGACATACTCTTCCTTTGTTATTCTTAGATTCTTATAATATATTAGATTAAATTAGCTGCTAGAACTTGATTCTCTGAAAATGAACACTTTACATTTCTCAGGATTTGCCTAGGATGGCTCTGTAAAAAGACAAAACCACATTATTATTAAGGCAAAAATCAATTTTAAGTCACGGATAATAAAAACTTGGTTCGTAAAATTAGTTTTGCATCAAATGAATGCAATTCATTGAAAAAAATACAAGGTACGCCCTTGATATAATGCCTTTGGAAAAGTCGTCTCCTTTATTTTATTGAACTCTGTTAAAACAATATAAAACCTTCTTTTTTCCCTTCAGGTAAATACCAAATCGTGACCAAAACTCGTGAAGTCACCAATGTATTTTACGCTTGTCCATAGAGTTCAAACATATTCTTTCTGTGAAAAATAGAATTAAAGAAAGAAGAGTTGCTTGTAACCTTTCAAAATAAAGCAGTATACGCTTCACAGATTGAAAAGTCGTCCCGAACTAGAAAATCCAGTTTCTAACGCAAAAATTAAGGAATAATTAATTTTTGACCCTCCGAAAGTTCAACTTTAGTCTCTGGAGTAGTCCCTTGAAAGTCATCATCGGCGTTTGTGGAGTTAATGCCAAATTTTATAAATAAACCAGTCCATTTAGCTTCATCATCTTGTTCTTCATTCACCTGGGATTTAGTTAAAGTCTTAATCCTTTGTCTTAAAGGTACTTTCTCCCAAGATAAAAAGCAATGTTCGCCTGCAGAAATAGGTATTGACTGAAAAGCTTCCAAGGGAATGGACACATTTTCCTCTAAAATACGAATTTCTACTCCCTCAGGAACATCAACCGGGAGTAAAAGCACGTTTTTCTGAAAAGTAAATACTTGAGATGTTCCTTCTTCTGCAAAAAGATCAGTTTCCGCCAAATCGCAAACAAATGTATTAGAATCAAACTCGGCGGATATAGTCGATGTAAATTGTTTGCAGATGTCCTTTAATTCCTGTTGTTCTACAGCCCTAAAGTTCAAAGACATATTTCTGGTAGTTGAAGGATTACGCTACTGAGTGTAGCATATGGATATAGTGTTCTAAATATGGCATAGGATTTAGTAGAGCAAATGAAATTAGCTACAGTCCAATACTTTTAATTGATTAGAACAGAAAAAAAAATATTTATTTTAAACGCTTAGAATCATTATGGCATTACTAAAATATTGTATGACCTTTCTAATTTATAGGCAACGAAACTTTCACTTCTTCGGACTACTTCTTGAGACATCTCGTTCCAACAAAACGGGTTTAATAACTTCTTCGTCAAAGCGTGAAAACCATTGGGCTTGGTCATCTCTAGATGCGTGGAAAAAATGATTGAATGCTCCAGCAGCTTTTTGGTACTGTTCGAAAGTATTAGAAATTTTCTTTGAAGGACTAGCCTCAGGTAATACTCCTGCATGCTCATAATCCTCTGGCACCACTGGCCGATCAGGGACAGAAGAATCAAGAGACGCATTGGAAAGCTCCATAGCTCCATTTTCTAATTCATAATCAGCTGTGGCCTGCCATGGAAGCATGGAAAATTCGGTATCGCTATCCACATCGGCAGCTACGCCGGTCTCAATGTTTAAAATTTCAAGCATGCGAGAAGTAGTTCCACCGAAAATGATAAGAGACAGCACGACTACAACAAGCGTTGTAGCCTTCAACGTCTGGGCATTCTCACCTTCAAAGCCAGCGGCCAAAGCGACGCCTACAGCTCCGCGAAGACCAGCCCAGAAAAGCATCATTTGGTAGCTATATGGGATATGGTCTATGAGAGTTCCGTCCCTTTGACGATGAAATTTGTTCAATAACTTACTTAAAGGGAACACGTTCATATATCTAGAAGCTGTTACCGCAATCTATACACCGTTAGTATATTTTCGTGGTAGCCCATATCAACATATACATACCGTCGTGATCAAAATAAATATAGGCTTATAGACCAAATCAACCTGTGTAAATAAGGACATTCCCAAATAAATAAATATAAAGTTCTCAGATAATTGAGCAAGGACACGGAAAACGTATTTAGTGCTCAATTTTGCTTTGTAAGACATATTATAAAAAGCATAATGTTTCAAGGTAATTCCGCAAAACAAAAGCGAAACAACACCAGACATGTGACATCCATTTGAGAAAAAATATGAAGCATACGCCATAAGCAAGATGATACAAGATTCTATATGAGGGTAACGTCGCAGATAAGAATATTTAAGAACCAGAGCCGTCATAAGTCCAACGGAAACACCGATTAACAGACTGATGAAAAAAGTGATAATAAAAATTGTTATACCGTTAAATAGGGTGAACAAATGAAGTTGTTTTCCTTGAAACTGTTGCAAAGTTTCAAACATAACAATAGCAACCGCGTCGTTTAAAATACTTTCGCCAAAAATAATGGTATAAAGCTTTTGATCCACTTTATAAGAATTGAAAATAGCAAGAACGGTTACGGGATCCGTGGCTGATAAAGTAGCTCCCATGGATAATGCTTCGACAAAGGACATATGGAAGTTCTCAAAGTTCAAAAACGAGAATATGTAAACCAATATTCCCAAAGTGACCGCAGATATAAAGGTACCGGCAAAAGCAAATGTAAGGATAGTCCCTATATTTCGAAAGAAATTTGACTGTTCCAAATTAGCATTTTGAAAACCAATAGCCCCAGGAAGCTGAGTGGGCTATGAGAAAAAAACATACCTGATGCAACTCGTAGCCCGAGTTAAGGATAATTGGCGGAAGTAGAACATTAAAAAAATATGTAGAGTGAAAAGAAACCATATTTTGAATAATTAATCCAGGAGAAACCCGAATAATTAGGCCGACAACCATACCAACAAATACGGAAATGACCGTTTCGTGAATGGCGCGAATCTTCTTTGATTGAACATAGTAACTAGTAAGAAGAGCACCAATCAGGAGAACAAGAAGAATGAACAGAGCCCAGCTTGAATACAGTTCTTGTAAAGCTGGATCCTTATCATCCTCTTCACCATCAGCTCGTCGGATAACTAGGCAATGTTAGATTTAATTCAAAAGAGTTGTAAATGATACACGCAAAGCAAAGCTATCGGCTGCCAAGGCCAAGGAATCTGATGAATATTTACATTCAGAGAGTTAAAGCTTGACCTGCCAAAATCGTCAGTCAAACTCACCATTTACTATGGAAGCAGCATCCATGGGAACAAAGAGGATAAATAGTTTTAATGTGATAGCACTTATTCGTAAAGGATTCAACGGCTGCAGAAACACGGTATTTGGTGTACAGAGTTTCTTCGAGTTTTAAGAGAAAGAAAATTTCTAAAATATATATACTTTTTATACTATGAATTTATAGATATCAAATCACACGAATTTATTCAAAAGAGTAATTGGATTTCTGCTTTAATTCTTCATTAAAATCTACAGTTGAGGGAAAATGTTTGTTACTTTCAATATGTTACCTTGCTACTTGTCGCTTGAAGGATTATTTGTTTATTATCATATTTCAGAATGTGAAGTTTTTTGAGGGATTTCCTGAGTTTTTGTATAAATAATATACTTGTTTAGCTTTCTTTTTGAAAAGTAGAGACGGATGGGTTTACTGAGAGACTATCTAGATCATCTTTCATTAACTAGTCTTGTAAGCATGCTAGACAGACATATATTACGTTCTAAAGAAAGGCTATTCATTACCTCTTAGCAAGAACAGAGTTGTTTATAAGACAATCGAAGCTGCTTTGGTTTTAAGTGCGTGCTTATGCGAGTTGATTCAAGAGGAAGTAAAAAGCAAATCGCTTGAATCTGACCGATTCCTGTTCACAAAGAAAACATGACAGAGAAACAAGAAGTAAAAATAACTAATCAAGTAAAATTCCTTTTCCGTCTCCAATACAACATCACGAGGGAAGCATAATTCGTTAAGGGAAAGAAAGTATGCAAGTATCCAGAAAGAATATACTTAAACTGTTTAAGGGAATTCTTCCTATGATAAATAGCTTTAAGACGGTTCGAAAAAGTTATTTGCCATTTGCGATTCGTAAACGAGAATCAATAACAAAACAAGATGATAGCATTACCATTGGATAATTGCTATAACTCAATAAAGGTAATCATAGTTGTATCTCTACATATCCAAGAAGAATATCATTCTGCGTGAATCAAGGTTCATTTAATTTGAAAACATTCACCACACACATAGAACCCTAGATTCCGATGTTTCAGTCTCAAGAACAAGGCAAGACTGTAGAAAGAAAAGGACGGGTGGGATCTTTCATATAAAAACCAAAAAATACGTCTTTCTCATTATATATTCAACGAACAGCCACAAGATTCAGCAGCCATTTATGGTAGTCTAACAAAGCAATAAAACGAAAGCAAAATAGAAAATAGCCAAAGAATTGCATGTGTAAAAGAAGTGAGAGGGGAGTTTCAAACCAAAGGAAGATAACGTACAAGGTTGTCGGGAGCAACTTTGACAGAATCCTGTGAAAATGAACTAATTGGAAGAAGAGGGGGATGCATTTCGACCTTGCTGTTGTCGTTTATCGTCAATAACAACAATTGAAGAGGGCCATTCAGACTTAGCAGTATCATCGTCTTGAGAGTTGGGCTGTGATCCTACATAAGGATTCTGCATAGCAGGACAAGGGAGAAAAGAAGGAAGTACGACAGTCGCAGTGGCAAAGAGAGCAGTTGTTCCAAATAGCAGATTTACCAACGACCGACGCTGGGATGCTCTGAGTGTACGAAACATAGAGAAAAGTATACAATAATAAGGAATCTGCAAGGTATTACATAAGACAATTCATGTCAAAAGATTTGGGTAATACCCAAAAAAAAAAGAGAAATCGGGAGAAGGCAGGCAAATGCAAGGGTTCTGACTTGTCTTTCATAGGAAGAAGAAGAACCAATAAGAGAGGTAGGAATGAAGAAGTAGGAAAACCCGGAAGAAAAGCATGTACCAAGTTATAAGGAAAATAATAGAAAGACTTATTTATTCAGAAAATTCTTTTTCTTCCGTTCATTCTTCCTCATTTCTTCGCAAACCAGATTTCCTCGTTACGACAATCCTTACTGCCAAGCTCAACTCTTTTAAATAATGCTCCCGGCCAAAAAATCTATTGTAACACTCCCATAGTAGAATATACTTATTTTAACGGTTAATATTCCGTATAGTAATACTATTACCATATTCAAAAGCATGCGTTTAAACTTTAAGTAGATATCTGCTAACCTACGATAATTATGCTTTTATTTTAATAAGCATATTGCTATGGTAACTGAAATAGGCCGAATATATATGTAAGAATAGAAAGAAAACAAAAGAATCTCTTCGTTAGTTTTTCCTTTTATTTTTTTTTTAGTCGTTTTTTTCTTTTGTAAAAATTAGGTGTTATCCTCTTGAGTTGCTTTTATTCACCATGAGATCATTGACGAATATTTCATTTTTTTCGGTATGACTAAAAATTCCATTGACTTCATTTGAGTTTCTGTTGAAGTTTCTTTTATAAAAAAGCCCCAGTCTTCTCTCTCTGACTGCCAACGTTAGGTCTGTTCATTCAATACTCTTTTATTCAAATAAAATGACAGGAAAACCGGCTATTTCAGTAAGTAAAACGTAAAAAGTTAATTAATGCTTTTTCTTTCAAGAAAATGAATCATGGTAAAAAAAGAAAGAGCAAAAATATGTTAGAAGCAGAAGAAAACAATACCATTCCTATAAAAGCTATATACTAATGAAGTCTTTAGTTACTCAGTGCATCTGTTGCGAAAGCCCTCGACGGAGAGCTTATGTCGACTGGAGCCTTTTCCGTAGATCAGTAAGTCCTAGATAATATGCAGGAACACTAGTTGTAGACTAACCATTGCTTTTCTTTTAAGACTCATGGAATTGGCTGGTTTGTCAGTTTCTCAAGTTGTATACCGTGAATATCCCTCTTCTAGTCATGCCAAAGTACTTGTCTGCTGTGGTCCTGGAAATAATGGAGGCGATGGTTTAGTAGCTGCTCGACATCTATGGCAATACGGCTATCAACCAACCGTATATTATCCGAAGCCATCGTCACCAGATCTGTACAAGCGACTTTGCAAACAACTTGAAGACCTTGACATACCCATCCATACTACCCACAATTCCAAGATACTTCATCAACTTCTTGGTCAGTCTTCTCTGGTAGTGGACTCTTTATTCGGGTTCAGCTTTAAAGGACCTGTTCGTGAGCCTTTTGGTGAGATTATCTCTGCTATTGTTGATTCAAAGCTTCATGTAGTCTCTGTCGATGCTCCGTCCTCCTGGGGTAAGTTTTCAGTGCTTTCAAGGACTACCTGTTCTAACCTATGCAGAAATTGACGAAGGTCCTCAAAAAGAAGGCCCTATGAAAAATTTCAATCCAAATGTTTTGATTTCCCTTACTGCACCCAAGCCTTGTTGCAATTTCTACAAGGGTAAGCATTACCTGGGCGGTAGATTCGTTAGCAAAGCCATCAAGGACAAGTATCACTTGCAATTGCCCTCCTATCCTGGAATGGACCAAATTGTGGATATTACGGATCAGCCCTTAGCTACAGTATAAAGCTCTTACTGCCCTTGGCAACCTTTTTTGTCTCAAGCCCAGTCATGTTCCTCATTTTATGATTATAATTACATACAATAGCTTTTTTTAAAATTTCTAATGTTGATATGTTGTTTTTACTGAAGGTTGCTTCTTTATAGCGAAAAGAACATGTGCTCAAACTAAGGTACAAATTTCACAATTTAGTTGCATTCCAACACTACAGAATAAAATAATCAACATTTTTCCAAAATTTCGTTTTCAAAATGGACCACTGACGACTTTCTCCAATTCACTTTCCTAGCTTCACTGCTGTAGCCGGAACGTGCAGGCAACCACTACGTGGCCATTTCACTGAGAGTTTTGAAAATACCTTTTTGGAGTCCCTTTTTTTGAAGAATATCCTAATTTTCTTATTTTCCTTATTTGGATTCGAAAGATTTCTGACGAATTCTATATTTCTAGAGGAAAATTTTTTTTTCTTCTGCTGACCCATTGTCTTGGTACATCTTAGTAAGCAATAAACTACCAGGATTCTTTTTTAGGTTTTCTTATTTGAATCTTTTCATTCCACCATTTCCACCATTTCGCAGAAACGTAAAATTGAGAACATGACTGATCCTGCCAACCGCGAGGAGTTATTCCCTGAAATTGGTAAAGCTGCACAGAATGTTTCTGGCGCCGATGAAGAAGGCTCTGGAGTTCAAGAAGTCGAATCTTTGTGTATGCAATGCCATAATAATGGTACTACAAAACTGTTCTTGACAGTCATCCCTTACTTTCGAGAAATTATTTTAACGTCTTTTGAATGCCCTCACTGCGGATTTAAGAATGCTCAGATCCAACATGCTGAAACCGTTCAACCAGAGGGCTCTAGTTTTACCCTCCTTGTCAATGAGAAAGATGATTTGAACCGTACCATTGTCAAGAGCAACGAGGCCGTCGTTCGTATTCCCGAGCTCCATTTGGAGATTCCTGGACGTCTTGGTCAATTGACCACAATTGAAGGTGTTTTAAGCAACATTCACGATGATTTATCTAACGATCAAGATGCTCGTAAAGAAGCCGCTCCTGAATTGTATCAGCAGATTTCACAATTTTTGGAGCGCGTTCTCCAATACCGTAATGGAGAGGCTCCTTTCACTTTCATCCTCGATGATGTTACCGGCAATAGCTGGGTTGAAATGAGACCTGGCAAAGACGGAAATCGCTGGACTCAGGTCAAATACAAGCGTACTCTCGAACAAAACCACAAGTTGGGTCTTGTCAACACGGATGAAGATCAAAACCATGAAACTTCCAGAAAGACTGATGCCCCCGCCACTTTGGCTCATGATGCTACTGCCGTCGAGGTTGATCCCAACGAAGTTCACACTTTCCATTCTACTTGTCCATCTTGCTCGCATCCTTGTGATACTCACATGAAGCTTTTGGATATTCCTCACTTCAAGGAGGTGATTATTATGTCTACCGTCTGTGATCATTGTGGTTATCGTTCCAACGAAGTCAAGACCGGTGGTTCAATTCCTGATAAGGGTCGCAAGATCACTTTGAAGGTCATGGATGCCGAGGACCTTTCTCGTGACATCCTTAAGTCTGAAACTGCTTCCTTGCAAATTGCTGAACTTGGTTTGGACTTGTACCCTGGTACCTTGGGTGGCCGATTCACCACCATTGAGGGAATCCTCGCTCAAATTTATGATGAGCTCTATGGCCGTGTATTTTCTCAAGAGAGCGATTCTATGACTCCTGAACAAGTTGCAAACTGGCAGCAATTCCTTTGCAATCTGACTAATGCTAGAGAGGGCGGTACTCAATTCACCGTCGTTTTGGATGATCCTTTGGCTCAAAGCTATCTTCAAAACTTTTATGCCCCTGACCCTGATCCAAACATGGTAATTGAAGAGTATGAGCGAAGCTTCCAAACGAATGAAGATCTTGGTCTTAATGATATGAAAACTGAAAATTACCAACAGCCTTCTACCGATACAAAAAAGGAGTAAACGGTTAGCTAGGCAAGTTTCTTAGGCTTTTTGAGTTGTTATTATTATGGGTTTCGGAATTCCATGCATTTTTTGATACATATACAGGGTTAATAAAATAGTGCTTTTTACTTTGCCTGCTTTAGGTATTGTAGCTTTCTTGATTTACAAGTTAACTTGCTCGTCATTTTAGTAAATAATCAAACAATTTTAAATTAAGACTGTCAAAGTAGACCATAAACATTTTGTCTATTCGTTAGTATTATTTTTTTCTTTATCTATTTTACGCTATTATCATTTTTCTTTTTGGCGTAGTTTCTTTTATTTCGAAAACCGGGATTAACAGTATTTCGCTGCATTTCATAATTCCAAGTTTAAACGCGACACGATTTAATTACACTTTCTCTCTGCCATCACACATTCAAGTCGAAAATATAAACAAACACTCTTTTCACTCTTTGGTGAACTGTCTCTCTTTTTCATTTTATTAATTAATTATAAAACAAAACTTTTTACGATTGATGATTCAAGACCCTACGAATTCTCCCCGCCTTGATGCTCTATCGTCTAGAAACAAGGAAAATGTTCCTGGAAAGCTTTTCAAAAAGTTCAAATGTCCATCCTTAATAATATCTGAAAAACGAAAGGAATTGCCATTAAGAAAACGACCTAGGATTAATTACAATGAATATGGTTCTAGCGACAATGGAAGTGATTCTGTCTATGTGACGGAGGAGAGAGCCGGTCTAGCGGCCATTAAAGAAGCAAATCGCTGTGTACTTTCCCATGAAAGAAAAGATCCTGACACAGTAATAAAAAAAAAATTCTCTGTACCGAAACCAATAAAAGGACATGAAGACCTGTCCAAAATTAGTTTCAGCCGGCCACCTCCTACGTTAGGAATGAAACGAAGAGCAGACTTTATTGCTAGGCCACTATATGATCCTGCTGATGAATTTGCAATTGTTTTATATGATCCCACTACTGACACTCACGAAGAGGTTCCCGATATCAAAGAATTTTTGGCAGAAAAGCGAAAGGTTGACCAAGAAGCAAAATCCAAAAAAGGAAAAAAACAGATACTCGAGAACGAGTCTGACACCGAAGAAGAAGCTAATCAAAGTAATGATTCCACTCAACCTCTTAATGAAGAGACACCAACCGAGTCAGCAGAGTCGGCAACAACGGCCAAAGGGAAATTTAAAAGACAGAATAAAAGCTTAAAAGACTTACTTGGAATAAAAAAAGAGAAGCCACCACCACCACCCGTACCTGTTGTAATCGACCCAAAGCTAACTCGCATTTTACGTCCACATCAAATTGAGGGTGTGAAGTTTTTGTACAAATGTGTTACGGGACGTGTGGATCGTGGTGCGAGCGGCTGCATTATGGCAGATGAGATGGGTCTCGGTAAAACCTTGCAGTGTATTGCTTTGCTATGGACTTTGTTGAAGCAATCTCCTCAAGCTGGAAAGCCGACCATTGAAAAAGCAATCATTACCTGTCCGTCATCGTTAGTAAAGAATTGGGCTAACGAATTGGTAAAGTGGTTGGGAAAAGATGCAATAACTCCATTTATCGTTGATGGAAAATGCTCAAAACAGGAGTTAATTACAGCTTTGCAGCAATGGGCTCAAGTGCGAGGTCGCCAAGTTACCCGGCCAGTCTTAATTTCTAGTTATGAAACCCTTAGAGGTTATGTTGATTGTTTAAAGAACACAGAGATTGGCGTTTTATTATGTGATGAAGGACATAGATTAAAAAATAGTGACTCTTTAACATTTACCGCTCTAGACAAACTAAATGTCCAAAGAAGAATTATCCTTTCTGGTACTCCCATTCAGAACGACTTAAGTGAATATTTTTCGTTGTTGAATTTTGCAAATCCAGGCCTTTTAGGTTCACGACAAGAGTTTCGAAAAAACTATGAAATTCCGATTTTACGTGGGCGTGATGCAGACGGCTCAGAGAAGGACAAAACGATCGGGGATACAAAATTGGCTGAATTGGCAAAAATTGTAAATCGATTTATTATTCGCCGTACCAACGATATTCTATCTAAATACCTACCCGTTAAATATGAACACGTAGTTTTCTGTGGTTTGTCTGATTTCCAAATGAAGCTCTATAACCATTTTGTTACATCCCCAGAAATAAACAAAATTTTAAAAGGGACTGGCAGTCAGCCGTTGAAGGCGATAGGCATCTTGAAAAAATTGTGCAATCACCCTGATTTGCTGAATATATCGGAAGATTTGGAAGGGTGTGAATCGTTATATCCTGCTGGATTCATTCCGCGTGAACATCGTGGGCGTGACCGTAACATTGATTCTTCTCTCTCTGGAAAAATGTTGGTTTTAGAGAGAATGCTTGCTCAAATTAAGCGAGAAACAGATGATAAAATAGTATTAATTAGTAACTATACGTCAACACTAGATCTATTTGAGCAACTTTGTCGTGTACGTGGCTATAAAGCTTTGCGTCTGGATGGCACAATGAATGTCAATAAACGTCAGAAGCTGGTTGATACTTTTAATGACCCAGAGAAAGACGCATTTATTTTTCTTTTGTCTTCCAAGGCCGGTGGTTGTGGTATCAACCTTATTGGAGCCAATAGATTAATTCTTTTCGATCCCGATTGGAATCCAGCTGCTGATCAACAAGCTCTTGCACGGGTTTGGCGTGATGGACAGAAGAAGGACTGTTTTGTCTATCGCTTTATCGCAACTGGCACAATCGAAGAAAAGATTTTCCAACGTCAGTCTCATAAGCAATCTCTATCGTCTTGCGTTGTGGATGAAGCTCAGGACGTTGAACGTCACTTTTCTTTGGACAATCTTCGCCATCTATTTCATCTTAATGAAAACACTATATGTGAAACTCATGAAACCTTCAAGTGTAAGCGCTGTCGAAATGGCAAACAATTTATTCGGGCTCCTGCAATGCTATATGGTGACACCAGTACTTGGAATCATTTCACCAATCCTACTCTAGAGAAGATTGAAGATCATTTATTGAAGCGAGAATGCGGTAAGGAACAGATTACTACTGTATTTCAGTACAAATCTCATTAGCTCTGTTTGTGGATATATTCGTTTTTTCTCCTACCATGTTTGAGGAATGATTGTTTCATACACTCTGCATATGTACAGTCTATTTAATAACTTGTTTTCTATTTTTATCGATTTTTATGGTACTTATGGAATTAAGGGTTTACTTATGCTTTTTTAAGTGCAGCAACGCTCAAAAGTAATTGCTTTATTTATAACGACGAAATCTATAATATAATTTTTGTTTAATCTAATATATTTCTCAATAAATGTCACTATCCGTGATAACAGGAGTGCTTATGGAAACTATGCTGCAACAACAAAGGTATATATGAAATTTTGCAAATCATTGTCTTAGGCAGTATTACAAATTAAAGAGTATAACTACCACTGAATGCATAATATTCGAACCTTGGATAAAACAATTTATCCAAGGTATATAAGGGCGCTTCTTAACCTTACTTAAGATATAGCTTACTCATAGGAAAACTGCACTTTATAAATGTGTATTTTGTGATTTAAAGATTGCAAACATAAACAAATATATAATGTATATGATAACTAACGACATAATATATATCAATTATTGAATAATAATGTTTATTTTTAGAAATTGTACATATTTGCTCTAGCATAGCTTAATTCATCGACAAAAAAGAAGAAAGTCAAGTTTTGAGATATAATACAGTAATTTACAAGGGCTCAAGCCCAGTCCGTAAGTCCTTCACAAAAACCCTGTGTATTCAGTTTTCATCATATAGTTAAGCAACGAACAACGCTTATGGATTTGGGAAGCAGATGTTCGATAATGAGACAAAGATCACTGTGTGAAAAGCCATACGGTCCAATCTGTTTAAAATAGAATTTTTATGACGATAATAGAGATGTTAGAAAGGAATACATAAATCGTCAATGCTTAGTGAAATCTGAAGTTTCACGTTCATATTAATCTTTACTTAAAGCTTTTGCAGTACCAACGGCACCTTGCTTTTGCTGGTAAGAAGGCGTAGGACCAGATTTCCGAACACTTTTCACGACATCATCACTAGCAAAGCCAGGTAAACGGATATTCCAGTTTCTTTCCAAGTGAAGCTGGACGTCCTTCATGTCCAATGTGTCAGACTTGCGATGCTTTGCGAGACGACAGGAAAAGTTTGTTACCGACTCAACAAACTCGTCGGCAATTTCAAGCAATAATTCTTCAACTTCAGGTTCTAGACGTTGCTCAGAATCAATTTGTTGTAATAAGTCGTTTAATTTTCTTTTAGACAAAAGGCGATTGCCATTGTCAAGTTCGTAATGAGGAGCACGCGCAAGACCAGGTGTGCTAAGACCTACATTTCCAGAAGCATAACCACCAGTCAAAGTTGCACGTCCAGGAGGCATAGCAAAGGGAACAGGAGATTTCGCATCAATTTTTCCTAAGTGATTATTCGTCATAAAAGAAGAGTTTTGCATTTTGCTATCCATACTCCCAGCCTGCTGAGGAGTAGACGAGCCGGCATCTGCACCTTCTACATTCAAAGTGTTTGCCACGTTTGAGTCAGTAACAGCAGTACTTCCTAAAGGATTATCAAAAGGTGCTCTTTGCTGATTTGCATTAGGTTGCGACTGAGAACGTTGCAATTGAGGAGTGGTTGCTGCACTTCTAGCATCGTTACCCAAAGTGTTGTTTGGCGTAACAGAACCGCTATTGTTTACGGTTCCGGATAATTGTCGATTTTGTAATTGTTGATTTTGTAGCTGCTGAATAGAACGAATTCCATTCGAAATAGCAGCCGTATATTGAGCAATTTTTACAGTCAGTTCAGACTCTTGTTTCGCCAACGTATCTCGAGTAGAAGCATCAAGATTCTCATTTGTTGTTAGCTCTTTCTTGATTCTTTCATGCGTCTCTTTCATCTCTGTTAAATAATTCTGAGCAGTCTGAAGCTGCCTATGTCGAACAACTAACATTGTTTGTTCTTGAGGACTCAACTGGTGTCGAGGACGAGGCGGAACAGCATTTGGTTCTGGAGTACGCTGTTGAAATGATCCGTTAGCTTGCAATTGTTGTAATTGTTGCTGATTTGGTAACTGTCCCGATTGCGCGTGTGCTTGAAGCTGGCGGCGAATAGCTTGTGCCTGTAACAAATATACCTGACCTTGAGGAGTATTTAATCCCAAATTTTGAGCATTTTGTTGATATATAGACATAGTATGTAACAGATTTGTAAGCTGATTTGCCCGTTGTTGATTCAAAGCTGCCTGGTTTACAGGACCACTAGCTGGGCGCTGAACAGGCGTTCCTGGCCCGGAATGTTGTCCATTCATTTTATTTATTTAACCACTATACAAGATAAGATGTTGCCGAACTTCTTTTCGTGATAAGAGTAGCTTTCACCGGCAATTCCAAATTTGGCAGTCGACAGGTCGAATATAGTATGCGTATTACAACGAAAGTACAATCTTAACAAAACGTAACCAAAAGTAGAATAAAAAAAAGACATTAATTTTACTAGAATTAAGAGAAAAAGATTTTATTATAAAAGGTCAAATTCTGGTTTTTAAAGTCAACCTCATACATAGATATTGGTACAAATTACAAATTGACAATGAAACATAGTGGAGAAATCCAGTACTTAAGAAAGAAAATCGTACATTATGTGAAAGTGGTTCTAATGAACAAGAGACAGTCTATTCCTTCTTAATATCTTTGCCATCATCCTCTATGCTCTCCTGTGAATGCCACATAGAAGCATAAATCCCATTTAATCTTATTAGTTCTTCATGGGTTCCTTGTTCAACCACTTGTCCGTCTTTAAGTACATATATGATATCGCAATTTCGTATAGTCCTCAATCGATGAGCTATAAAGATACTTGTTTTCTTTGACTTCTGAATAAGGGAATTCACATTATGAAGGAGTTCTCTCTCAGTTGAGGTATCAAGAGCAGAGGTAGCTTCATCAAAAAATAGAATGTCTGGGTTTTTTAATAATAATCGAGAGACAGCTAACCGCTGCTTTTCTCCTCCAGATATCATTAGTCCTCGCTCACCTACTTTTGTGTCGTACCCGTCTGGAAAGGTTTCTATAATGTGATGAATCTGAGCTTGCTTCGCTGCTTGAATAATTTCTTCTTTTGAAGCTTTTGGATTTCCGTAACCTATATTGTACAAAATAGTATCGTTAAATAAAGGAGTATCTTGTGGAACTACCCCAATTGCGTCTCTTAAGGACTTTAATGTCATTAAAGTTAATGGTTGCCCATCAATCATAATTTTGCCGGAATTGGCATCATAAAACCGAAATAGTAGTCTTAATAGTGTAGACTTTCCGCATCCACTGGGTCCTACGAACGCAACTTTATTGCCAGCTGGAATAGTGAAAGAACAATTTTTTAAGATTGGGCGGTTGGGATTATATGCAAATGAAACATTATCGAACTGTATAGAACCTCCCTTCATTACCAAGTTTCTGGCATCTGGGGCGTCTTTAACCTGTATATTTATCTGTTTTAAAGAAAACAAATGCTCCATGTCTGTGAATGCTTGACGCATTTCACGGTAAACCGATCCTAAAAAGTTCAGGGGGATTGAAAGCTGAAAAACTAACTGATTAATCATAACTAAATCACCAACGCTTAAGTTTGATGAAACGATTCCTCGACATCCCATCCACATCATAAGAGTAAGAGCAGTCGAGAATATGATTGCCTGTCCACTATTCAAAAAGGCTAAGGATGAAGCAACACGAATATTTGCCTTTTCAAATGCGGAAAGATGTTTGGAATATCGGTTCAATTCGTACGGCTCATTGTTGAATGTCTTGACAGCTTCATAATTTATGAGGGACTCAATGGCAACAGCAGAAGCCTTGTTATCAGCTGCATTTGCTTGACGCCGAAAAGTTGTTCTCCAAGATGTCGTCTTCACCGTAAACAAAGAATACAATGCAACTGTAGCTGCTGCAATACCAGCAAAAGAAACACCATATTTGTAAGTTAAAATAGAACTGACCATGCCAATTTCCAGAGTAATGGGGATAATATGTAGCACGAGTGAAGATAAGACGAAGCTAATTCCCTTAGTCCCTCGATCCATAGCACGAGTTAGACTTCCAGTTTGCTTCGATAAATGAAAATTCATATCCAAATTTAGCAAGTGTTGATAAACATTACTGGAAACGTTTTTAATGGCACTTTGAGATACAGAAGCAAAGACGCTATTCCGTAATTCTTGAAATACGGTAGAAAACACCCTAGCTAGGCCATAGCCTACAATCACAGCACCTACGGTGGACCAAAGGGCACCCACTTCTTGAACGACTGCTGTATTCATGGTGTCGATAATAGTCTTGAAGTAAAACGGGACTTGGACATTAAATATTTTTGCAGCAACGAGAAGTACCAAAGCTGAGACTACTCGCACTTTTAGATTGAGCTTACCTTTGGGCCAAACATATTGAATCATATCTTTAACTATCATCCAGCTCGTTACGTAGGTGTCTTTCTTCTTAACTTCTGAATTAGCAGAATTTGCAGTTGACACACCAGTATGAACTTTCTCATTTTTTTTGGCTGCATCAAAAGGTTGCTTTTCTGCTTTTAAAGACCCCGTAGGGTTGGGTGTCTTTCTAAGGTAAGAAACAGTGGAAAACTTCAAAGATGTAGAATTGCCCAAAATAGAGCATTTATTCGGAGCTAATATTTGGTTTACAGAGAGGGGCCCTTTGTATACATAACGTATGGGAAGTTCATTAATAGATCGTGATATTTGCCTTGAGATAGCTGCGCACAGCATCTTTGAAAGGCCAGAGTGATTTTTCTAAAGGGTAATAAATAAGAACAATTTAATTCCGTTTCGCAAACTTTATATCCTTTCCTGGACAATTCTTACAATCAAAAACAATCAAATGAACTTGAAAGGTATGAACAATGACTCAAAAATAGACTAGCTTTCCTTTTTTGTCTTTCTTAATGTTTTGAAAAATTCAATTCAGTCTGACCAATTTTATGTGAATTCGGTGTAACGAAAGTATTGTCGCAAAGTGAAAAATAAAAGGCAAGTCCGTGAACAGATATTATATTCAAAAAATTCAAGATGTAAGCTGTTTGGTCTACTTCCAGAAGCTTGCTTCTGGATATAGTAATCAAGGAAGCAATCGACAAGTGGTAGTAGTCCTGGTTCATAGACCACTTCGTGCTTACGTTAGGAGACCTATTCAGTAAGAAACCTCGATTAGTAAGCCGTTATATTGATCAGAAAGGAAGTTCGGATAATTTTAAGTACGATCTAGATTTTTGGTCAACAGAATCGTCGAAATCCGAAGACGGTTTACGATCCATGCATTTACTGACATTCTAAGCTCTCTTTGAGGTAAAAAAAAATTATCATATATTATTCTTTTATCTTTAGTAGAAGAATTAAATCTATTGTTCGTATTAGAGGAAAAGGAATGGCAGAATTTTTAAAGCATTTGAATTCTATAAGTGTTTCTTCTGAAAGACTTATTGAACCTGAGCAGAAACCGGCTACGAGATTTACTGATGCTCTGCTTCATGTGAATTCAATTACAGATTTAATTCGAGACGCTGAGAAAGAAGAATTAATCACCGCTGAAGCGACATCTTTACCAAAAGGAATCGAGGAAAAATTCAACTCGGAGAGTCCTGCAGATCACGTTGCTTGCATTGAAGAATTGTTGGATATTTACCCTATGCAAGGCGGACGAGAATATTTGGAAGCCTTAGTTGAGAAGTACAATACACATATGACCTCTTTGGAAAATCTGGAAAGAGTACTAATAGAACAAAAGGAAAGATTACATTTGTTTGAACAAAGACAGAAGGATCAAGTTTCTGCGAGAGAAAACATATTACAGCGTGAAAATTCTGAAATACAAAGACTTGAAAACGAAATTGAAAGGGTAAAACTAGAGCTGGAAAGATATTCTTAGGTTCCTATAACCGTCGCTCTTGCACAAAAAAGCTTTATAGTCATATTTGAGAAATGGAAGGAGCCGAGTTTCCTAATGGAAGTCAGGAAAATTGCCCAGAATTTTCTGAGTTCTTTCAAGAGGATAGATTGCTTCCATTTAATATGCATCCCGATTTTCAATCGAGAGAGGTATATGAGGCTTCCCAGATACATTCGAAGCCAGAGCTGACTTTTGATGAAAGTCAAAGGCATCGAAGCGACATCCGAAAAAGTGAGACAAGATATTCCTACTTTGATGTCGATTTATTTAAGCTTCAATTAAGCCGCACGCTTTCACAATCTACGCGACACAAAGAAAGTAGCTGTATGAAACGAGCAATTACCGAGCTGGAGGAGTTTGAAAAAAGGGATGCCATTATTAGCAAGGAAAATAGACGTCTTTGTTTAGAAGAACTCCTTCAAAACTATAAAAACGAAACGCCCACGGATTGTAACCAAGAAGAGAACATTGATTATACCGATTCTAATGATATCTAAAGAGTACCTTACAAACAGAAATTTCCCGCTCTATATCAGTAATTGACTTTTGATTCAATATCTCTTTCATCAGTATACGATTATACTATCCTTTCAAATGACACTAATAGCAAGACACTAATAGCAAGACACTAATAGCAAGACCAAACAGGTAGTATCAGTTAATGAGTGCATAGCCTTTTGCTTTCTGAGATTCTCGTAAACCAACGCAAATCCATAAATCGTTTGTTTGTTTACTTTTCTTAAGCAAAGTTGGTATCATTGGAAAGGCTCGGGAAAGTTATCACTATTCTTCGGATAATCACCCCTTTTAAGAACAGAATTACTCCTTGAAGGAGTAAACAAATAGCCTTTCATTGGAAACCCTATTCTTGATTTGTTTAGCTTGTGAGAATTCATATATGTCAAACATCTGTTACTTGGGTTTGTTTACATTTGGGCGTCATAACTGATATAAAAGGGAAAGGTATTCCAGTCGATTTTCTCCAGTCATATTCATCATAATTTAAAGAAAAACCAAAGGATACATACTTTTATATATAATGTCACAGCCTACTCGTGTATTAACCGCCGATGATGGTTTAATTGACGATAAGCTTGCCCAGCGCATCACAGAGCACTTGCCTCCTAGGTGTGCTGCTGCCGAAGTATGGAAAAGGGTGTATTCTCTTGAGCACGACGGAGCATCACTTCACACTATGTATCAGAACTGTATGAAACAGAAGGAAGAATCCGGAAGCCCTAAGGGTGCTTGCATTTTGGTCGCAAAGGATGTGCATGATAATGTTTTTGGAGCCTATGTAGATGAGTATTTGAATCCACGTCCTCATTATGTTGGCTCCGATGAATCGTTTTTGTGGAAATGCTATTCTGACAATAATAGATTCCGTGCATTTCCCTTTGTTGGAGACTCAAACTTTGTTATCTATTGCACAAGAAGTTTCATCGCTTTAGGAGGTGGAAATGGTCGCTACAGTCTTTGGCTAGATGGAACTTTGGAATATGCTTACTCGGACACTACGCCTGCTTTCAAAAACTCTCCTTTAAGTCACCGTAGTTGCCAAAATCAGAGAATCTTTATTGTGAATGTTGAACTCTGGACTTTAGAATAAGTCTATTCTTTCTTCCAGATTTCACCCTTGATGTTTTTGTTCATATGCTTTTTTTAGAATCAAGTACGGAACGATGAATTGGTTTTATGTATTGGAGAAAAATCCTATAAAGCATGCGTCTTGTGATATTGAGAAATTTTTACTTACATAAAAGTGTTTTCTACTGTATTTTGTTCTCTTATGGGTACTCTGTTGATCAACACGAATAGCTTCCCTTTTTTTTTTCACAACCGAGCTTTTCAAGGTTCCAAAAAGGGAATCTGTAATTACGGAGTTGTCTGGATTTTATGAAGTTGATGATTTTTTTTTATTTACGTTGTCTGCGGCTGAATTTTTCTTTGGTTTTTCTTTTTTTTCTTGGGAATTCGTAACAAGGCTTCCATAAATGATGATGATATGCTGTTTCACTCTATTTTTCTTGATTTTATTCTGTATAAATATATTTTATGACTGTAGCAAAGGAACATTTGTAGGTGTGTTCATTACTCATTAGTCACCCAAGTATTGGTAAATGAGAGACGAAAATTAAAGCTCTGCGTTTCATCTATAAACCGGTTCTCTTATTTTATCGGTATGTATACCGTTTTATTTTTGGATTCTTTTTTGTTTACTATATAGTGACACAGAATGCAGTTTGTTAAAGAAAGGAATCTAGTAAATGAAGCCTAGCAAAAACCAAAATTTAGTTAAAATGGCTCCGTCTTCGAAAGGACTCAATGGCAAGTTAGAGAAGCCAAAAAGTGCTTTACAAGGTGTGTTTATATCGGTTTTATTAGTACAATCACTGACCGTTAGCAATTGTATTGTCGGACTCTTACAACTATCGTTTTCGTCCTTTAACATTGGATAAGCCAAGGGTAAGCAAAACAGCAATAGGAGTCAATAGCTAATGTGTTTAGTGCCTCCTTCCTTTGGCAAATACCCCATTGATTGAATACACATTTGAGTTTTTGGCCCTAGCAGGTGTACAAGAGGTTTATGTTTTTTGCTGCGCTCACGCCGATCAAATTCGTAGTTATATCGAGTATGTACTTGCCTATTTTGTATATTCTTGCTAACAAGTCTCAGAAATTCTAAGTGGAACTTGGCATCCTCTCCATTTAGCGTCCATACCATTGTTTCTCGTGAATCCCTCTCAGTTGGTGATGCTCTTCGTGAATTGGATACCAAACAATTAATTACTTCAGATTTTATTTTGGTTTCCGGTGATGTGGTTTCAAATGTGCCTTTAAAAGAAGTTTTAGAAGAGCATCGAGCAAGAAGGGAGGTAGACAAAAATGCAATTATGACAATGGTCGTCCGTGAAGCTAGTCCCTTTCATCGCACAAGAGCAAGTACAGAAAGCTCTGTTTTTGTTATTGACAAAAAGACAAGTCAATGTGTGCATTACCAAGCTAATGAGCGTGGAAAACATTATGTATCTATGGACCCGGAAATTTTTAACGAGCACGAGGAGCTTGAGATTAGGAACGATTTAATTGACTGTCAAATTGACATTTGCTCCAACGATGTTCCTGCTCTTTTCACGGAAAATTTTGACTATCAAGACATTCGAAAAGATTTTGTTTATGGTGTCTTGACGTCTGATTTACTCGGCAAAAGTATTCATTGTCATGTTACCAAAGACAATTATGCTGCTCGTGTTCGTAGTTTGCAAACTTATGATGCTATAAGTAAGGATGTTATTTCTCGATGGGTCTATCCGTTTGTTCCTGACAGCAATTTATTAAACCAAAGCTTTACCTATCAACGATACCAAATTTATAAGGAAGATGAGGTTGTTTTGGCTCGTTCTTGTGAAATAAAAGCTCGTACCCTCATTGGTGCTTTTACCAAGGTTGGAGATGCTTCCATCGTTGCTAATACAGTTATCGGCAGAAACTGCATAATTGGCAATAATTGCAACATTGATGGTGCTTTCCTCTGGGAAAATGTTAGGATTGGTGATAATTGCAGAATTGGAAAGGCTATTATCGCAAATGATATACAGATTGGACACAATTGTACCATAGAAGATGGTGCCATTCTCGCTGCTGGAGTTATCATTGGCGACAATGTTAATGTTACTGAAAACTTGCGTTTGACACCACATGAAAGCCACTCGCAAGGAATACCCAATGACCCTGCTTTGGTAGGAGAACGCGGTTTGGGACAAGAATATCACGCTGAAGCCGATTCCGAAGACGAGGAAGAGCTTATGGAAGCTTCTGGTCTTATACATCGTGTTGAAGATTTAAATCTCTCTGACTCAGAAATCTCTGAGCTTTCCTCTTCCTCTGAAGAAGACATGGATTTTATCCCTTTTTCTGCCAGACGTGATTCGGCCAACACTATGAACTCTGATGATTTTGATGAGGGAGATTTTAATAAAGAAGCCCAGCAAAGTATTGAGCGCGCCTTTGAAGAAAACCATTCTATTGAAATTGCCGCATTGGAACTGAATACACTTAGAATGGCAATGAATGCCAATTACCATGAAGTTCGTTCAGCTATCATTCTTGCGATTTTAAAGCGTATTTCATATCTTGATTTTCCTGCCAAAGAGTCTATTTCTAAAGTTATGACTCGCTGGGGTCCTTTACTTCTGAAACTTACGTTTAATCATGAAGAACAAGTCGATAATCTTTTGACTCTTCAGAAATATTGCATCCGTTTGAGTATGCAAAAGCAATTTTTGCAATTGTTGGGTTATCTCTATCAACTAGAAATTGCAGAAGACGACGCCGTCCTGGACTGGTACAACGATCCACGGTCCGCCGAAGGTGAATTAGCAGTTTTGAGAGACAATTATGGCAAGCAATTTGTCGATTGGCTTAATACCGCTGAAAGTGAAAGCGAAGAGGAGGAAGATGATGAAGATGACGAGTAACCGATACGTATTTTGGAGAAAAAAAAAGGAATTTTGACTTTACGTAAGTAATGGGTTTCTGGTTTTATTGTTTATAGGAATCAAGTTGAAGTATATGGACCTTTGGAAGTTTGAGTTTGAGATATCAATTTAGAGTAGTGGCATGAATACACAAACATTAGCAAAAGTTACTTTGTATATTTAATTTTACATTCATACTAGTGCTATAAAATGCTAAAGCACATTGAATCTTAAAAGTAAGCATATAACAATTGAACAATAGTATTAAACCCATTATAATTTTGGGGTTTCCTTTATATAAAAGAGAAAAAAACACATACCTTAACTATATTGCAGCAAAATATATTTATAATACAAGTCATAACCAGTTAAAGCATCTAGAATAAAAAATTAATGAAGCAAAAGACCTGCTTTGTAAATACCATGCAAAAGGTTGTATTGTCATCGGTATTATTGTGGAGGATGAATACCAGACTGAACAGGGTCCTGCAACACACGAGCCGGAAACATCGGTGTGTCGGTTTCTAAATAAAAAGAAACAGGCTGTTTGCTGTCTTTTAAATCCTCTCCTGGTGAGCCTGATGATAAGCTAACAGTAGAATTTTGTTGTAACAAATTCATTAATTGCTTTTTCAATGTATGTAGTAATGACGATTTGGTAAAAGGTTTTACTAGAAGATCAGTAACGCCATGATTAAAGTAATTGACAGCATCGTCCATGGATAGATTAGACGTAATAGCCACTATTGGAGTATTTTGATCATATTGGCGGATAAGGCACGTAACTGAGAGACCATCTAGTTGAGGAAGTATGAATTCCATCAAGATCAAGTCGTAACCACCACTATTTGCTTTATTTACAGCGCTTATACCATCAACAGCAACCTCTACTTGGCAATCAAAAAGAGTTAGAAAATCGATAGTCATCCTTCTTGAAACTTCATCATCCTCAACTAGGAGAATACGAGGCTGCCTTCGCCAAATACCTCCAGTAACAGACATATTAGAAGCCATTAAAGAATAGGAATCCGTTACGGGATTTGATTTTGCTAAAGACTCTACCGATAATTGGGAATACGATTTAGATATGGATGGATTTTGCTCTAGATGAGGGCTGTATGTCGGTTCAGTAGGTTGAGGAATAGGAGGGTATTTTTCATAAATAGAGAAGGCAGGGTGGTGTGGTAAATTTGGTGGTCCATTCGCAGACAAAGATGTATTTAGCGAGGTAGCAGAAGCCGTTCCATTAGTCTGCTTCTCCTTGCCAGCTAGATCATAATCTGAAGAAGGTGTCGCATATAATGATCTGTGAGTGCCTTGACTGGCAAGGGTTGAATCCATAGCAATCTTGGACGCAGAAGACGGTGTTGCCAATGGTTGAGACGCAGGAATATGAGGCATAGACGAGACAGGAGTGAGATTTTGTCCCTTTGTGATGGATTGATAGCCATCGATTAATTTTTGAAGTGGATGAGAAGGAACAAACATGGAGTTGGAAGTAGTTTGTTGCTGATTATTGCTTTCCATATCACATAAATAAGATATGAGGCTACCAATGAGTAAGTCTCTTGACTCAATTCCTCGTTTGAGTTCGAACAGCTTTAAAAGAATAGTTTGGTAACTGTTTGCAAGACCAGCAAGGTTCGTATCCAAAGATTTTTGAAAGTCATGGATACCATCAACTCGTTGCCGAAGGTTTTCAATGGCGGGAGTAGCAGCGTCACTCGACATGTTACGTTTTGAAGGAGCCTTACGCTGAAGAAATGAAATTAGCAATCTTCAGGAAGGGTGATCTATATAAGCATACCTTTATATTATCTAGCAGATCTTTATGATGCAGTTGAAAATCATCATGGCGAAATTCCCAAGCCTAAAACCGTGTAAGTTGGACATGAAAAGTAAAACGCTAGATTACTTACACCTTCACCATAAATGGAAGGAGCCCCGTCCTCATTACGCACTTTGTGAAAGTCATATCTAATTTACGGGTTAGTAACATTCATAGTAAGCCTCGAATAAAGACCTACTTATTTAACTGTCGAACAAAACTAGCAAAGTTGCTGTGCTTAAAATGTCGAGGTAAAATCGTCTTTGTAAACTCGTTCGTCTAAAACATTCAGCATTAGTATTTTATTAATACATATGGGAAAAGAAAGGACAAGCCTACTATTAGGCAGAAAGAAGAGAAGTTGAACGGAAAAAGCTTGTAGTAAAATAAAAGAAAGAAAAAGGAGAAGAAAAAGGCTTCATCAACAATTCGTGATGCAAGTAAAAAGGAGCAAAAAAAATTCAGAATGGAAATTCTTTTTTTGTTTAAAAAAAAAAAACAACAGATCATTTGCCATTGCCTTGCAAGACTGCTAAGTCGAATGATCAAAGTGTAAAAAGGACTTTGAAAGTCTGCTTGCTTTTGAAGTTGATAAAAAAAGTGAGATTGCTTTTCTAGAAATATATATATAATGATGATAACAGTCCGAATGAACGTCCAAATGAGAATTCGACAGAATCGTAATCTGCAAATTGAATAGAATTGTTTTATTTCAAAACGAAAAGCGATTTTTGTAATAAAACAACCCGATTCATAGTGTTTCACTAGACCAATTTTCTTTTCCCCTCTTAAACGCTTTTCGAGGATTTCAGAATTCTCTTTTTCTTTCTTTATTTCAACCGGCAAAATCCGTCAAAAAAGCTTACATCCAACACAATAAAAGAATCTCCAGTATCGCTCCAGCGCAAAATATGGCGATACTCGGGTTCTTCCAACATGTTGAAGAGTTTTCGCACCTAGAGACTCTGTTAGCAGCTAAACTCGAATTCCTGATGCCTGAACCGCGTCATATTCGTACAAAGTCGGAGGACCCGCTCGAAGACGGCATCTTCTCTGTGTTTTAGTGACCAAAAGGTCGATTCTCAGAGACGTTTGATATTAATTATTCGCAACAATGGTGTTGGTTCCTGGTAAGAATAGTTGACAAGGGGACATGGCTATGTTACTTGTTTGTTCTTTTTCTACTTGCCGCCTCCAGCGTTTGAAATTATTGTGAAGCGTTTTATACCTTGGTACACTTTGTTAGGTGTCGTTATATACGATGATTACTAACGAAGGGAAAAAGGATGAAGCAAAGATATCTACGTGGGTCAGTAGATACAAAGGGATTAAAAGAACAAACGGAGCATCCAATACCGGATTAAAAAAAAAAGGAACAAACAAACCGAAGAAGCAGCGATTCTATTCGGCCTTTTAAGGATTTGAATACACCGACTCATTTCATATAGAATGCTGTACACACGTTATGTTTTATGCTCCCCAGAAGCCATTTGTTGCCTACACTCTTTCCATTATAAACTATCATGAATCAGGACTGCTTCCTGTTTGGCTGAATCTCTTTTGTTTACATATTTTATCTGATGCTTGTGACTACTTACTTTACCCAACGAGAACCGAGCGACCGCTAAGCAGACCAATAACCGATTCCTTCGGCATCAGATAAAATTTTTAATATGATGATGTCAGGGGGATTTTCTTGCTTCATCTGATAATGTTTGGAGTTAAGCTGTGATGGAGCAAGAATTTTTTCCAAAATTTCAATTGTTATTCATGTTTTTCAACATTTTTTTTCGTTAATCTCTTGTTTTAAATCTTAAATTTAGTTGTTCGAGCTTTTTTTATATAATGTTTTCGCCTCTACCCTATTTCCGAGATGATCTTCCTTTTTGACTTTTCGTTTTCATTCGTCGATAGGATTGGATCATTGACATGCAGATCCACTCAGGTCAAGACCACGACTGACAACCTTTTTCTTCTTCCATTCTCTCCTTTCTAACTTAGATTTACTTCAATAGACTTATTCCCAAGTTTTGAGCCTTTGTTTTGGAGAATCTAATCGACTGGATGGAAGTATCAGCTTTATAGGCGAAATTTATATAGACGAATTTCCAAACGAAAAACTTTCCTTGAGACTTGGGTTCTCTTCATCATAGTTGATTTATTCAAGTTATCCGTCCGTCGAAGCTTTCACCATTCACTCGGTGTTGCTTGATTCAAACGTACTATCAAACGATAGACGAGTATCCATTTTCCGTGATTTGCATATCTGATTACAAAGGCTTTTTTTTTGATTGTTTCCTTTTTTGGTTCTAACTTGGTTCAACAGATTTCTTTTTTGTATCGGATTCAATTTGATTCATTTTTGGAGGATCAAACAGTTCATTTCAGTTCGTCTTTTCTTAATCGGCTTATAGATCCTTGGTTTATTTCTTTGGGCTTCATTTTTAATTCTTTATTTTTTTATTTTTCTTAATAACTGCTTTTCTGTCTTTTTATTATTCTCTCTTCGATCTATCATCATCATAATCATTCATCATGACTTATCCCACCGAAGACTATGATTACGAAGGCCTTCCCGAAAACTCACCCATGTATGCTCACTTACTTGCCGGTGCCTTTTCCGGTATCCTTGAGCACTCCGTCATGTATCCTGTAGACGCCATTAAAACACGCATGCAAATACTCAACGGTGTTTCTCGCAGCGCAACTGGTAATGTCGTGGCTTCTGCTTACAAAATTGGCTCAACCGAGGGTGTCTTTTCTCTTTGGAGAGGTATTAGCAGTGTCATTATGGGTGCTGGACCTTCCCATGCCATTTATTTCTCTGTTCTGGAAATGTTCAAGTCCAAATTCAACGCTTCCGCTGATCGGCCGCTCATCACATCCTTGGCCGGTGCTTGTGCTACTACCATTAGTGATGCCTTTATGACCCCCTTTGATGTTATCAAGCAACGAATGCAACTTCCCACTACCAACTACAGATCTCCTCTTCAATGCGCTCTTACACTTTTCCGTCGTGAAGGCGTGTCTGCCTTTTACATTTCCTATCCTACCTCGATCGCCATGTCCATACCTTATACCGCTATTCAGGTTGGTTCCTACGATGTTGGAATGAACTTTTTTAATCCTGAAGGCGTTTACAATCCCGTTTCTCATATCATTTCTGGTGGTCTTAGTGGTGCAGTCGCTGCAAGCCTGACTACTCCTCTGGATGTCGTAAAGACGCTTTTACAGACCCGTGGCTCTTCCACGATCCAAGAGGTGAAAGAATGCAAAGGTTGCCTTAATGCCATCCGAATCATATATAATTTTGGTGGTGTCCCTGCTTTCTTCAAAGGTATCAAGCCTCGTGTTATCGTTTCCATGCCGGCCACTGCCGTTTCCTGGGCTGCTTATGAAGCCGGAAAAGAGATTCTGTCTCAAGTATCCAGTCCCCCGGAAGTCTAGTCTATATTGTTTTTTACCTACTTTTTCTTCTATCCTTGTTCTTAACATCCGATAATGTGGCTCTTTTTATTTTTCCGCTCTTCGAAAGGTTTGAACTGATAGCTTTTTGTTTACAACACTATTTGTATATGTATATATATATATCTTTTGAGCTAATATTTTTTTTTTATTCCTATCTGTCCCCCAAAAAAGGCTTAAATCCGCTACTACATGCCTTGTGCTTTCTTTTATATTTTTTTTTTATGGTTATAAAAAAAAAGGGTTTCTTTTTGTTAGGTTATTAGAAGTTTCAATAAAAAAATGCATTTTTATTTATCCCTAAGGCCAAACCTTTTATATTGTCGTGTAGCATCATGTAGCATAAAAACTCAAATCCATATTAACAAAGGAGATATAAATAAAAAACGGCTGCTTTCTGTAGACGTTACTGATCCTTTTAGACTATTCTTGTGTAGCATGTCAAGGATTCATATTCATGATGACAAGTCATAAATTCCCTAGACAGAATCGTAAAACACTAGGTTTTTCTTTTTTATCTTTAATTCACTACGAAATTTTGGGAATTCTTTTCGAGTTACAGGGAGTACTATGAGGGAGCAATGGATAAAGTAGGTGATTTCCTCCTGACTAACAAACTAAAAATGACATTGCAAAAAATATAACCAATTAGATGGAAAAACTAAAAAAAAAATTAGTATAGCACAATCACACACAGTCTATCGAGCGTACAGCTGTTCTGGAGTACGAGCGTTCCTCCTTTTCTGTTCGAAAAGAAGCAAAAATTCTTCGAAGATTCTATACCTCATTAGCAGAAAGAACCATACTATTTCACATACTGGAAGCATTATTCCTATAATGTCAGCTATTATGCCTAAAACCAAATACTTGTTCGAAGAAAGAATATTCTGAAGCCCTTACGGCTATAAAAATGTAGCTCGAAATAGATAATATTATATGTACTTCCTTAATGAGCTCCATTCTTTATAATTATATTTATGGAAACAAAAGAAGGACATATTCCTACTCAAGATTGGGAAGAATAAACGGGTTTTTATACTTATTCGTCTCTATAATTATATGAATACAGAACTTGAGCTATGACTGCTAACAGATGAATATTGAACATTCGGCAAATCCAAGACGAAAGACAAAAATTGTAATCTAACAGCTCTGCAGCTACCAAAATTAGTTTATGACAGAGTGAGAATGCCCAAACTATTATGTATATAAATCATATCTTAACAACCCTTATCGAGTTTGGTCTTTTATTCCCACAAAAGGTATCTTCCAATCCGATTACCTTTCTTGAACAGGACGCCTAAGGATAAGCGTTGTCTTCAATCCATATATGAAATCAATCTTATCAAAAGGAGTGTGTATATCTTTCCCACAAGACCGAACTAAATCTGCTTTTCGGTAGAACGCTGGTTAATACCAGTAATGACAAAAAAAAAAATACGCTAGCGGAAAGGTAACCACGCATACACAGCAAAGGGAGGAAAAAAGGTGTAAAGGTTAAGAAAAGTGTTTGAGCGTTATAATTCACAAGCATTTACAAACGTTCTATAGTTATGTACAGTTGTAGGAAAAAACCATGCATAATAGACAGCCTATCAAAGTGTCCTATAAGTCGAGATATTGCTTCCATATGTTTTTTCTTTAGTTGTTCTTCATCGATTCCCATTGTGCTGGGGTGTAGCATTTCTAGTGACGATTAGTATGACAGGTCCTCATTAACAAAGAATAACTCTCGGTCGATAACAAAGAGAAAGAGACAAAAAGAAACCCCAACTTTCGTATCTATGGGAAAAGCATCTAACATACCTGCGTAAACGCATGAACCTGTTTCACAATTTCCTCAAGCTCGTGGTTGACAAACCGATGGCGAGCGAGAGTTGTTTTTCCTTCAAATAAAGGCGAAACAATGACTACTACAAAGTTTTGACCGCACCCTCCAGATAAATCTTGGATTTCCTGAAATCAGAGTTAAATCATGCTAACCCATAAGAGAAAGACTTACAACATGAGTAGGTTGTAGCTTAGATTGAATTAAAAGTTCTAATTGCTGTGCGTTTACCATTCTCAAGGTCTTGGAATATTTGGGATACTCAAGTGGTGAATTGCAGGTTTCAAGTTTGCCAGCTACCAACTGAAAGTTTGCGATTAAATTTTCAGTTTAAGCATAATGACGGAAATAGAGGTAAGAAATCTTGTAAATGAAAAAACTAATCATTCTATAGGATCGTATTCAGGGTTGGAATGATGGATTTGAAGAATTGTTAAGTTATATACCTGCAAAACTGTATTATCGAGAACAAACGACGGTAGGTGCTTTTGAACAGGAATTGACATTGAATGACCGTTAACATGCTGTTAGAACCAATGGAAGCAAAAGAAGTCGTCTTCTGAAGAAAAAAAGGAACGTCGCAAAATGAAGTTCTCTTTGGATGGTTTAAACGACGAAGAGGAATCTCAAAAAGAAGGAAAGAGACCTCCAAATTGGAGTGCTGAAAAAGATAACGGGGAAGAGAATGAAGATTCTGATCGCCGTGCTGAAAGTATGTCACAGATACGTGGAAAACTAGCTTCCAAGATTCAGGACATGCGAGAAAAGCGCAAAGCTAGCAATCTGGACCAGAAAAAGCAGAATAAAAAAGTATCCACCGAAGAGAAGAAGACTGCTTCCAAGAAGAAGTCCCCCAAAAATCAAGCTTCGTCTCGTGCTGGTTTTTAGACAAAGTTAGACATACTAGCAAAGCGTCTTACAAAGGGTAATATAGGATATTAGGAGTTGTTTACATTGTTTTTTTTTTTTGGATTTTTACGTTGCGCTCGGTTTCCGTTTTGGAAAAAGCTGACATTGCTATCTGAATGAGCAGATATTTAATTTTACGTATATTTGTTCATTAGGAAAGGAACAATAAAATATGGTTGAACGGTTCTTGTTAATAATAGTCTTTCAGTACGACAGCATGGTTTGTGATACATATCCAAAACTCCCATGTCTTGTTCGAGGTCATGGGATATTGTCATATTTATGCTAAGTTCATTCTTTGTATCATGATGTTGATATTTCTTATTATTTAAATTCATCTACAGTACAGTTAAAATCCCTATTTTCTCTGTCGTGAAACTAATCAATCGCTCTTTGTGTTTGTAGAAATCCGTTACGTTGAATTGAATCAAAAGCAAATGTAAATAGAAGTGCTTACTGTTGCAAGCTTTGAGCCCTTCCTTCATTTGTAGCAAACAAACGCAAATTTTGAAGTAAAAAACTGTTTGGCCTCAGATTTTCTTATGGGTTTTTTATTTCATCTGTGGTTTTTCTCTCTATTCTAAGTTAATTTAATTGTCTACTATCTAAGTTGGTATTTCGTCCATGGCCATATCGCTTTTATTTTCGCAATATTATGTGTCACCCTCAACATACCATATACTTAAAAATCAGATTTTTAGGGTAAACGATAGTGAAAAGTGGTTCTAAACTATTTCTCATGGTTTATTCTTATATAAGACTCAATAGTTCTTTCTGAGATTGTATTTTGTTCCATTTCTCGAAGTTTATAAACAAACAACTTCAACTCAGAAAGACCCTTAACTTGCAGCTATCTGTGAGCTCGGATTTGTATTTTATTGACCCGTTTACTGAATAATTGGCTTTGTTCTGTTTGATACAACATTCACAGTACTTTGAGGAGTGTCTCTGAAAGAGTTGGAATGCTATGGGGGTTGTTGTACTGCTGCAACCGTTCAAGGCGTAGAGCTCACGAAGAAAAATTGGTTCTTAAAGAAGAGGAAAATAATTTTTCTTGTTCGGCTACTCATAAAGAGCGATCCAGTAAAAATTCCCGTTCCAGTTTAAGCATAGAATGGACAACGGAAGCTCTTCAACAGTTTATTTACCAATATTCAGCTCGGCGAAATCTTTCCAATGAGCAAAGCATGTCTTTTTCATATTTTTCTGAGTCTTATGCACAGCTATTTAAACACATATATTACAGCGACAGCCGGTCCATGACAGAAGCAGATGAGGCTCAGGCTATTGTTACGTTTACCATCGGTTCCTATTTATACAAATACAGCAATCCCAAGTCCGTATTTTGGAAACGCTTGACCGAACATATGGAAAACATTGAGGACGATGGTACATGTACAGCGCATCAGCTAGAATTTCGAAAAAAGGTTGCACTTACACACGTCGGTCATCCGGCTTTTCATTTCCTCCCCTTCCAGGATAAACGAACTTTTCATTACATATGGTCTTTATTTGTTTCTTCATATTTTATGAATGCTGCTTCTATCCCTCCTTCCCCCCAACGGCCAGCTGCAGACAATACCGCGCAACGAAAAAATAAAAGATCCACACCACAGGAAATTAAAGAACGAGAAGACGTCGATGTTTTAAGAGAGAAATTCACGCAGCTTCTTTTAGAATGTCCTGATGAATACTGTGAAAACTGGCTACAACGGTTATATATTACATGTATTCTTCCAAAAAATCATTATATTTATGTTTTAGATGAAAGTCTTGACTTTTTAGAATCCATTGAATCCATGAAGCAGCAGATCGTTAATCGAAAAGCTGCAGCTCTTGACTAGAGACCCGTTTTAGATTCGAGCTTTCTGTGATTCGCTTCATGTATATATTCTTTTTGTCTTTACTTTATGTTTGTTTGTTTGTTTGTTTCTTTTTCCTTCGAAAAATGGGTATTTTTTATGAGAAACTATAATCGTTTAGAATATAATGACGATTCTTTCCTTGCTTGAATTAATTCATTTTGCCTTTTCTAGTCATTTGACATGAACAATTTAACAATCGACAATAAATGTCATACACGTACCAAAGTGAAATACCACACTTATTACACTTGGCAATTTTCTTCTACAACACTACTCTGCAGTCGTGTATACATACTCATCTGAAAATGGTTGCCTCCCATATTACCAGCTACAGAACAACAGTTACAAGAGCAAATATATCCATTAATACAAAAGGTAGATTTTTAACGGTTGCTCTTGGCAACACGCTCGAGTTCATCCTTCTTCTTAATGGCATAAGAGTTAGAAGAACCCTTGGCAGCGTTAATGATTTCTTCAGCCAAGCACTCAGAAATAGACTTGACATTACGGAAAGCAGCCTCACGAGCACCGACGGTGATAAGAGCGATGGCTTGGTTAACACGACGAAGAGGAGAAACATCGACAGCTTGACGACGAACGGTACCAGCGCTACCGATACGGGTCGAGTCTTCACGAGGACCACAAGCGGCAACGGCGTCAACCAAAATTTGGAGAGGGTTTTGGTCGGTCAAGAGATTGATGATCTCGAAAGCGTGCTTGACAATACGAGTAGCCAAAAGCTTCTTACCGTTGTTACGGCCGTTCATCATTAAGCTGTTGGTCAAACGCTCAACGATGAAACAACGAGCCTTACGGAAACGCTTGGTTTGGAAACGGCCAGCGGTGTGAGGAAGGGGTTGACCATTGCCAATGGTGATATAATCAACCAAAGAGATGTCCTTCACTTCAACACCCTCAAAAGGGAACTTGTTAAAAAGTTTGATGCTGCCATTCTCATCAAGAGAGACGCCCGGGGTGAGACTCGACGTAGCCATCTTGCGTTGTGGTTTTTTCTTAGTTTCCAACTACGACTAAGAGTATGGAAAGAAACTGTGACTGTTTTCATACCCTACCCTAAACAAACCTTTTCGAATGACTTTTTTAAGGAGTATAATAATTCAGGTGAATAGCGATATCGTAATAATGTATAATATCCCACGCTAGATTGCGGTAATCAACAAAGCGTGCTTCCTGTGTAATCAAAGAATTAGGAAATGTTCAGTTAAGTTTAGAAATGAAATACGAGAACCTTGTATGCCATGATAACATATTTCGTAGAAAAAATTACAGGATTGCAGACCTCTGGACGAAAAATACCAAGTCAAACCTCAAAGTACCAGAAGGGTACTATCAAAGTAATTTCAAGAAGCCATTTCCTTCTTGACTTTACCCAACAAAACACTGACTTGATTTTTCATAACAGGCTGACCATGCTTCGTCCGTTTTGACAATTGTTTGCGAGTCTCTATGCGTTCATGAATTTTTCGATCATGTTCTTGCTGTTTCTCCTGTTTCTTCTTTATGGCTTCTTCTTTTCTTCGCCTTTTATCTTCGGATACTTCGTATAGCTGTTCCAAATGATTCTTCCTTGGTGTAGGCTTAGGCGCTTCTTCCTCTGTCCTCTTTTTACCATACTCCTCAGGTTTGACTGTTTTGTAATAATGCTTTTTGGCTTTTGCTTTTAAAATCAGATCTTGCTTGATTTTTTTGGCCTTCCCTTGATAGGCATGCTCAGGAAGCACTCGAAATTTGAATCCTTCTTTGCGTTTGCTCGAGTCGTTTTTTGCCATTTTCCAACACGGCTTTTAGTTTTTTCTAATGGGATCCCTATTTACTTTTATTTCTCCAAAATTGACGCCCTAATAATTTGTATTCTCGTGAATAATATTTACAATGGCTCCTTTCCTTTGTCGCTTTTGGCAACTTCCCAGAACCACTTTTTCTTCTCAGTTTCTCCTATCGTTACGCTTCGTTGACTTTGGCAATAGTCTTTTAGCGAGCTCGAAAACATACCGTATTTCGAGTTGACAAGAACTCAAGCTCATCAGTGGCATACTTGGCATAAACAAAGCACGAAGCGAATTTTAGCTTTAATAAATATCGAGAAGCTGTCTGTTGAACTCGTCTTTCTTTACTTAAGAAGAATTTGTTCTCAAGTCTTATGCCGATTGGAGCAGTGAGATACACATCTTAACGCATTTGAAGAATTTGTTTGTATCATTATTTTTTCTTCATACAAAACGAACCTGTCCTCTTTTTTTTTTTTTTCTCTCGGTTATATTTTGACAAAGCACGGTTTATGACTTCGTAATTGGCTGCTTTCTAAATCCAAGGTAATTCTTCTATTTATTCTTTTCTGGACTTGTAATTCTCTTCCATATCGATAGTCCTATTCATGATTTGGATTCTGTTTGGTTTTACATAAACTGCATCCGCTCGCCCTCTTTGAAAAATAAGTTGCTCTGGTATCCATTCCTTTTGTATATACGATTAAATGTTATGTAAACGAATTGTCTCTCCGTACACGCGACGTTCACTCTTAATCAACCGTGCTTTAACGCTGAGTGTTTTATATAGGTGCTTGCACTTTAAGCAGGAATCGAAAAGCTTACCTTTGTCTGTAGCCGAACGAGAGTTAAAATCGATTCCCACGAGTGCACAGAGAAAATCGTTTGTAACCTCCTTGCCAAGCTTTCAGTATCCTATTTCTGTGAGCAGTGAATCTGAAAAGGTTCCTTCAAACGATGAACTCATTTACCGTTATCTGAAGACTCTTCCCGAATTAGTGTTTTCGGATCCTCATATTCAAGATAATTTGAATCAGCTATCTAATTCTAACTCACCTTGGTTTTCAGAATCGGCTATTTTTCTGCAGAAATTAGCCCCATATTTTTACCTTCCTTCAAATGCATTTCTTGAAAAAGCAAACTTGTACTTTCAATATCGCATGCTAAAAACTTCTTCGATTCATCATCTTGCCTTTGCCATTTATGATGTGTTTTATTTCTTCTTCTTAAAGAACGATAATCGAGGATTCCGCATGCAAGCACAGAAAATTGTTCCCTTTATGTCCTTTTTTATGCATATAAACATGCCCGATTATGTCTTTCATTTGTACATGAACTTACCTAAAAAATTTCGGGATAAAATTGACATTACCATATTAAATAATCCGTTTCGCAAAATTTTTGCTCATGCTTTTTCTGCTATAGAAAATCCTCTCGTTGTCTTACGTTCGCTTAATAAGGCTGATGCCAACAAACATCGTATAAGGATTCTTTATTTTCATTATTTACATTTTTTATTCGTTCATGGAGAACATCAAAAAGTTGTTGCTCTCTCTCATGAAATATTCAACAATTTTAATTGGGTTGCTAGAGGTCCTTGTCAATTATTGATGAACTCTTATTTTCAGCAAAATAAGTTGAATGCGGCGGTACAAGTATTTAATGAAGTCTCGGCCAAGAAGCACACGCTCCAATCAAACAAGGTACTTTTAAGGGACCTATTAAGAATCATTACTTCAGCTGGTTATTATAATCGAGACTCATTTCATATGGTTCTTAAGATTATTTTAAAAACTGGATATATACCTTCTCTTCAAATTTTCTCAAGGCTCCTTACGGCCATATCAAAGTATAATATGCCAGAGGATCTTTTGCCATTGATCAATCAGTATAGAACACAGTTCAACAATAGGTTAACTCCGAGCGTTTTTGTTGCTGCCGTTAAAGCGTTGGTTTATTGCGGTGATATAAACAATGTAAAACAGTTTTATCAAGAAGCTCAAGCTACCGGAGAACTTAAAAACCTTAGACATTTGTTCAATTTGTTCCTCACATCAACGACTGTAAGCCTTGACGCCTCCATGGCAATGAATTTGCTAAGAACATTCAAAAACGATAGGTCTTTTATTGATGAATCAACTTTGGTGAGCTGCATCACCTTGTTTTCGCGAAGAAAAGATTTAGATGCCATGGAAAAAGTTTATAAGTATATATCGGATTTGGGCGTTCCGACTCCCGCTGAAGGATATGCAGCACTTCTAGATGCTTATATTGAAGCAGCTAATGACAAAAAGATTCAATTATGCCTTGAAAAAATTGAAGAGCTTGGCATAGGTAATAATCCTAGTGTGAATCGCATGCTCATGAGGTATGCACTTTATAAATATGACTATGAGTTATTACAACGTTGCACTGCTGTTGCACATAAATATGATAAAGGGGGACGTGATTATCTATATACAATAATGATGCTCTATCACACTAACGTTGGTGAAGTCAAGCAAGCTCTTAATGTCTTTTCTACAATTCAAAGACCAAATGTTATTCATTTTTCAATTGTGGTTACCATACTTGGTAATTTAAAGCAGCTTGATCAAATAAGATCATTAGAGGAGCGTATGTCTTCATTAGGAATACAGACGACTCCATTGTCTTTAGCTGCTTTTATTACGAGTTACTGTAAACAAGGCGCCGAAGGTTTGGCACAGGCCGAACGATATATGAATACCATTTTTCAAACCAAAGAACGCAGAGCTGCTATTTTCAATCCACGAACGGCAAATGATCTTCGATACCCAGTATCTTTATTCTCCCCATTGATTCGGGAATATACCTCTTTGGGAGATATGGCGGAAGCAAAGAATGTTCTTGCATTGTATCTAGATTACCATTCAAAGAGTATCACTTCGCAACCTGACATCCCCTTTGCTATGGCTAGTATGCAACTGTATTGCTCTTTGCACGATAACTTACTTGCTCGTAAATTCTGGGATTTAATTTTACGGGTCGCAAGGCAGAACTTTATGTCAACGAAAGTTGAAAATTTTATATCAGGTAAGGATGACAGTGCGGATGAAGAAAGTGAAATTGTTGCTGCTCATAAAGGAAGCCTGAACACTTCAGCAGAAACGTACTTTTCTTTCTTAGCCAGTGTCAGCGCCTTTCACGAATTAGATAAAGAATGGCTTCGATTAAGAAAATGGGGTGTTGATTTTGACGAATCCTTGTTGAATAAACGTATCGTATGGACTTTATACAGTGGTCGAATAGACATGGCATTATCTGAATTTTGCGAGTATTTCCTCACAAGGGAAAAACTGTCGGAATACATTGGAGAAGAGGAAAATACTTCGCGTATTGCTAGGTTTTTGTTATCACCTAACTCTCCGGTTTATGCAAGCACCTGGGACGTACTTCGAGAAAAGATTGCTATGGCTAATGAGAACGGATATGTTCGTACTCAGAATGCCGAATTGATGGCTGCAACCCAGTATTTTCAATTTTGGAAACAAAAAAATAGATTGTTGTTTACAATTTTGTCGGGACTTTAGATACTTTTTGATTGTATAATAATGTTAATATTAATAATACTTCCATTTATAAATCCTTGGTACACAATAATGCAGTAAGAAAGGTAAAAAAAAAAAAAAAAAAAAAAAAAAAAAAAAGAATATTATTAGTACTAAGTAAACGTTTAACTTTACCGTTTGGTTATACTAATAAAAGTAAAGTTAGGTTAACGAACGGAACCTATTTGGTTTAGG